AAGACAAATGAAGATGACAGGCACATAACTTAACCATTTTAATCACACATCACACTCTAACTCGATCATAAAACTATGTATGCGATTGAGCAAACAAACGAGTACATACATTCACGATTCATATAACACATATACTCCATGAACAGAACAAACGAGTAGAAGAGATGAGTAACCAAAACAATTAATAATTCCTGAAAACAAAAAACATCCAAACGAGTCGAAGTATGATATGCACTAATGAAATTATACAGATAAATGCTTCACCACATATGAATCGAAATATGCTACAGACAAATGATATACATAAGACGAATCAAAGCAGAACCTCAAACCAGATCCAATCAGGAAAACCCTAAATTCGATTTCGCTTGTCTTACAGAAAAATTCGATTTCGCATATAATAACCATGAAATCGTCTAACAATGAATTCACACACACACTAAACTCAGTCAAATCAACCTATTTTGATTCCTACCAAGTTTCCCTAAATTTTCCCCAACTTAGTTAACCCTAATTTCAACCACGCAGATCTAAATTCTATAACAAATCAATCCAGCAGAGGGCATACCTTCAAAGACGCGAATCAATAAATCGAAATTGATCTCGCCAGTGTCGAAAGATCATGTCTCGCTGATTCTGGATTGAGGCTGTGGAAATCGCCGGTGGTGAAGAGAAAACAAAAGATAGAAAATGAGAGAAGTCGATATGATCAAAGTAGGTTTCACAAAAAAAATTCCGACAATTTTTTTAACCCAAACGAATAAGAGGGAGCCACATATCTATGGACTCTTAAAAAAATAGTCTCCAAAAGTTCGTCCTAAAAGAACGGTTCATCACATTTATAGGCTTCATCTATTTTTTTTAATTATTAATAGGTTATAAACCCCATTTATGAACTCTATTGAACCCTGCATTCGACCTGCTCTAAGATGCCTTGAAGAAGAAGCAGTCGAAGACGCCATCACGGCTTTTCAATTCGGAACCGCCTGCGTCCCCAAAAACTCCGGCGTCTTCAACAACGGGTCGGGATACAGATTCTGGCAACGAAGAGGAACTCAGGCGTGGTATTGAAGAAGCTTCTGCTGCGTTTCCTTGTCTTCTCGGAAAATCTGCCATCATCGGAAGAGTAGACGATGTTGCATCCGAGTCTATCAGAGGCTCTAAGATTTGGTTATCGGAAACTTCGATGGTCGCTGCTTCCCTCGGCCCTGGTTCCACTGTAACGGTAAAAATCGATGCTTTTCTGCTTTTGAGGCTGTTCATACGAAATTTAGCTGCGAAATGCTGATTTGAAATTTCGGAAACTGAATCTCAATGATAGGTATCACTTGCTTGCCCAGAAAGCAGATTTTCGAACAGCTTCCCTCTCAGCTCGATAAAAGCTGAATATGGAGTTGAGTGCGAGAGTCGAATTGCTGATGAACCAGGGGACTATTTTGTTCTCGCCACCGTTTTCTCTTCTTCAAAGGTCAGAAGAATCTGTCTTGCAGCTCTTTTCGAATCGAACTTTGAGTTCTGATATTTCTTCTTGTTTGGAATTTCGATTTCAACCCTCTTGCAAATTTTCAAAATTTTGCAGGCTTTGAAGGATGCTGTTCGAATTTCAATGAATCTTTGCTATGGTCTTGGTTGCCCTGTTTTAGGCAGGACTGTTTTTGTTTATCCTGTTAGCAAACCTTCTTTGAGTGATCAATTCAACGGGAATGGCGGATCGTACAAACATGATGTCAACCAGCTTTCGCTACTTGCCTGCAAAGAGTTGTCTTTGGAGTTGATTCCCTTCAGGAATATATTACAAGCTAAAAATGATTTTCTCTCTACAGAGAAGCTATCTCTTGAAAGTTCTCACGAGCAGAACGGAAATGGGAATTCAACTCCTAAGACACCATCAAACTTGCAAAAGCTTAGTTCTCCTCGCCCTAGTTCTCCTGCTTCATCAAATTTAGAAGGCCCTGTTTTCAGTGCCAAGCAGCGATTGTCATCTGAAAGTTCGATTGATCTGCGAGAGGTTTTGAGCAATGAAAGTTCGAAGAAACTTTTGCAGATTTGTGCAACTTCGTGGCTGTATCCTTGTAGTCTGCTTTATGGGAATTTTGTTGCTGTACCAATTCTCTCAGAAATCTGTATTTTCTGTGTCAAAAGGGCTAATAAAAAGCCACCAGATTCCTCCAATAGAAGTCAGGCTTTTATGATAAACCGGGAAACTAAAGTAAACCTCCATCATACACTAGGCTTAGCATCTGAAATTCGAGAGAAAACATCTGCGCAAGGTCTGCAGTTTGATGAAGACGATGAAGGAGAAAACATGGGATGTGAAATTTCAAAGTTAGGTGGTCTCTCTAAAGAATATGCAATTTTAAGGGACATTATTGTGTCCTCGTCCACAAAAAATTCCTTATCAAGGTTAGTATTCCAGTTATTCCAACAGCAATTTTGACTCCTATTCACCATTTCACATAGTCAATCAAAGCTCTACCTGAAAACATCTATGAAAAGTGCAAGTATTTTTTATGTAGTCCAGTTTCCCTGTTGGTCATGAATTAATTAAGTTATCCTGCTCATTAATCGGTCTGTTGAGCTCATTAGGAAGGTTGAGAATATGTCTAGCCAGTAAAACGTGTTTATACACAGTCCTGATGAATGCTGTAGGTGTTCTGCTGAGATATATGATTTACTAATTATAAGGATAGAAAGGTTTAGTCCATCTGATTGTTAGGTTCTGTAAATACAGCTACCTTCTTAGATTTTTGTTTTATTTTTAATATTCTATGTTTATCACTGGCATGATCATTTCAGTCTTGGTTTACGACCCACCAAAGGAGTGCTTATTCATGGACCTCCAGGCACAGGAAAGACATCTTTGGCTCGGTCCTTTGCCCGTGATTCTGGTGTCAACTTTTTCTCTGTGAATGGACCTGAGATAATAAGCCAGTATTTGGGAGAAAGCGAGAAAGCTCTAGATGAAGTTTTTAGATCTGCTAGCAATGCTGCACCTGCTGTGGTTAGAATTTTGCACTCTCCTCTGTCTTTTTTTATACCTGAGTATCGACTATATATTGAGATAATTCGATATTCACTTGTTACCCCAACAATTGATATATCTTATCATACCAATCTGCTTGCGATGTGAATAATTTTGTTTCTTGTATAGGTGTTCATTGATGACCTGGATGCTATTGCTCCTGCACGGAAAGAAAAAGCAAAAATTTTGTTTCTTGTATAAGTGTAGGATTTGAAGATTTTGAAAAAGCAAAGATCAAAATCAGACCTAGTGCTATGCGTGAGGTATTGCCATTTTATTTTATCTCCTAGGAACTTTATGATATTCCTAACTCTCCTTTTATTGATTCCCTCATTTTGACTCAGTTTATCTCTATTTTCTGATCTAATTAAGATGATCTCCTTCTTCTAGTTCTTCATATCATATATCAAATTGCATGAATGAGAACACCAAGAGCATTATTCTGTTATGGTTCAAATTCAATTTCACACGTTTGGCTATCTTCTTTTGTTACTTCCTCAGATTTTCTGGTTTGAATAGAAATTTTTAAAATTCAGTATTGAATTATTTCGATGGTTGGTCCAGTGTTTTGGTAGTTTTTTCTTGAGATTCATAGGTCTGTTACCTGGAGATTTTTATTTCGAGATGCTAAACCAGATTTTACTCTATCTTAGTCTAATTGCTGGTTGGTGTGCAAACTCTTAGGTGATATTAGAGGTTCCAAAAGTTAACTGGGAAGATGTTGGCGGCCAAAAGGAAGTGAAAAATCAGCTAATGGAAGCAGTGGAATGGCCTCAAAAACATCAGGACGCATTTAAGAGAATAGGCACAAGGCCACCAAGTGGGATACTGATGTTCGGTCCTCCTGGATGTAGCAAAACCCTTATGGCACGTGCAGTAGCTTCTGAAGCGGGGCTGAACTTCCTCGCAGTCAAGGGTCCAGAGCTATTTAGCAAATGGGTTGGTGAATCCGAGAAGGCTGTGAGGTCCCTTTTTGCAAAGGCAAGAGCAAATGCCCCCTCGATTATCTTTTTCGATGAGATAGATAGCCTTGCCTCCATTAGAGGGAAAGAAAATGATGGCGTTTCAGTTTCAGACAGAGTTATGAGCCAACTTCTTGTGGAACTCGATGGTTAGTAACAACAACCCTTCGTATTGATATCTCGGTGCAGTTCTCAAATTGTAGGAAAAGTTGCAATCATACTTTGTGGAAAAAGGAAATTGTAACTAAAGATTCTAAGATGTAATTCTGAACAGTATTTTAGCATGGATCTGATTGATTTAGTAGTGGAACTTAGGTTTGCATCAAAGAGTTGGTGTTACCGTTATTGCTGATACAACCCCGGCCTGACAAGATCGATTCTGCCCTTCTGAGACCTGGTAAATTTCTTTCTCTCATTAATTCATTGGATTTTCGTAAACAAACTTGAAAGTTCGTATGGTGAAATTGAATATGTTATATAATGTTGCAGGACGCTTTGACCGATTGCTATATGTAGGACCTCCTAATGAAGCTGATCGTGAAGCAATACTCAAAATACATTTGTGTAAAATCCCATGCAATATTATATTTAAATATAACTCAACCAATTATAAAAATTGATCAAATTATCTATCAAATATTATTCAATAAATTGTAATTTACATTTCTAATATAAGAATATTTAATATTTTGAAATAGTTTTTTTTTAAAGAAACACCTAGCAAATTGAAACAGAAGGAATCATATAAACTTTGTCTATTTAATTATTATTTCAAAAAAATCAAATGAAAATATTTTTTTAATGAAAATTAATAAATAAAAAAGTAAAGTTGTTAGTTTCAGTCTAAATTTACTTTTTAATAAATGGACAGAAACGTGTCGAAAAAAGAAAAAAAAGGACAGAAACGACTTTAAAAATCGAATGTGGGTCTAAGTTGCAGTCGAAACCTATTCGGTTTAGGAAAAGACAATAAAATTCTATAAATATAAGTTAGTTTCAGTCTGGTTCCGCGAAAAGAAAAAAAGAGTTTCTGTCTGAATTCTACTCCTCTCAGTCATAAAAGAAACCCTAATCGCGAAGGGTCGATCAATCCAATCAAATCGTATATCTGCAAATTTGGGGATTGTAAATGACGATGATCAATTACGCCGACGAAGTGCCACTACCGCACCTTAAAAGGAGGAAGAAGAAGAAGACCAATAAAAGGAGGACGAATAAGACCAATAAATCATCTCCGTCGTGGTCTTCGTTGCCGGATGCTCTGGCCCTGAGCTGCGTGGCTCGCCTCACGAGACAGGACTACCTGGCCTTATCTCTCGTCTCCAAGAGCCACCGCGCTCTCGTAGCTTCCCCTGAGCTCGTCCGCGCGCGAACGCTGATAGGCTGCACCGAGCCAACCTTCTGCGTTTGCTTACGCATCTTTCCGGACCTAACCCCAAGCTGGTTCTTCCTCAATCGTAACCGGCGGCTGAGGCGGATCCCATCGAACCCCTATCAGGCTCCGGAGTCGTCCTCCTTCGTGGTGGTAGATTGGGGCATCTACGTAATCGGTGGAATCTCAAACGGCAATCGTCCCACTTCGGATGTCTGGTTCCTCGATTGTTTCTCTCGCACATGGCGTCAAGCCCCGTCCATGAAGATGGCTCGTGCTTCCGCCTCGGCAAGTTTTGTAGACGGGAAGATATACGTTTTTGGAGGCTGCGACGATCACTCAAACTGGGCAGAGGTGTTCGATCCAAAGACCCAAACCTGGAATCTCTTGTCAGTGCCTAAGATGCCCCACGGTATCCACCAAAGTGTGGTGATAGAGGGGAAGAAGGTTTACGCGGTTGATGAGGAAGAGTATCAAAGCTTCTCCTTCTCGCCAAGCGAATGTAAGTTTTGGACAAGAAACCGTAAAAGAGATTATAAGCGTGGATACAGAAACGATTGGTGTGCCATAGGGAAAGTGTTATTCTGTCGTGGTAGTCGCCGGAGAATACTTTGGTGTGAACCAGATAATGATTTTGATTGGAAGGAAGTGAAAGGCTTGGAGGAAGACCTGAAAAATTCTCTCTCTGGTTCGAGACTGTACTACCATGGGGCCTTGGATGCACTGTACAGTAAACCAATCGATATCAATTATGAAATCAGCAGTCTCAGCAGCAACTCTGCTGGGAACATTGTCATCTTCTGGAGCGTGCAGCTTGAAAATCCTAAGCATTTGGAGCTTTGGTCTGCCGAGATTTCCGTGGAGAGGCGCGAGGGAGGCGAGATCTGGGGTAAGTTTGAGTGGTCCGGTGCTGTTTTCAAACTTCATCCTCGCTCATACAGTGTTAAGGTCTTATATTCTGCTTCGGTCCATGTCTGAAACTTCAGTCTTCTTAATCCTTGTACTTTATTGTTTCCTTATACTTTAAACTATTGTTTATGAATTCCAATGAATCAGTTTTTTTTTTTTTTTTTAATAATAAATACTGCAGTGTGCTTCTCTCTTGACTCTTTGAGCAGTTTCCCCTAAATACTGCAAATATCCATTACATTGCCTTAATAAGTTTCCAGTAGACTAGAATGTTGTGATGGGTGCAGGACGGTACATTACACCCCTATTTCCCAGTTTCTAATAAGGCTAACATGTTCTTATATCTTGCAGTTTCTTTTTAATCTCTTGGGACAAAAAATAAACTCACTTATTTCTTTGTCTTGGTCTTAATATTTATGTGTTTTCACCATTTCTCTCGGTTATATGCTCCACTTATAGAGGAGAGGCCGTAGAGCAACTCTTGGTCCGGTACCGTCTTTGACCACTAATTCAGATTCACAGAGAGAATAGTTGAGCTGATGAAGAGTGGGAACTTGTTTGAGTCCCAGGGTGGTCCCATTTTTGTCTTTCTTTAGGATCACTATGCGTTAACAGAAAGGTGTCATCTTTTATTCGAATGCAGACTGAGGATGAGTACGGAAGACAAGGGCAGTTATTGGGCGCTGAAGGTCACAACTACATGACATGGGCTGCTAAGATGTCTATAGCAACTGAGACTGGTGTCCCGTCGGTCATGTGCAAATAAGACGATGCCCCTGACCCTGTGGTGAGTTCTTTGATCCGCATCTGCTTAGGTATAAGTTGTGGTTTGTTAACTGGTCTGCAGCTGTTGAATCTCAGTGAAAACTGAACTCAAAACTAGTTTGCTTTGGTACGTCGAAAGTCATTGTTTTTTTTTTTTTGTGACAGATAAACACATGCAACGGTTTCTATTGTCATTCGTTTGTTCCGAACAAGCCCATACAATGTCCATTGACTTATCATCTTCAAATCCAAAATATTTTTATCCTTTTGAATTGTAAAATGTATCTTTTTAGTTTCACTGATTTCGGTGGGCCAATGCATCATAGACCAGTTCAGGATCTGGCTTTTGCGGTTGCACGTTTCATACAAAAAGGAGGATCGTTTGTTAACTACTACATGGTATGTAGAGTTAACCACATAATCAATCATCAGTATCAGATTTTGTTTATCTGAGGCCAATCTTTCTCTGTCTCCTTGAGAACAGTACCATGGAGGGACTAAACTTTAGAGAAGAACAGCCGGAGGTCCATTTGTCACCACCAGCTATGACTATGATGCTCCAGTCGACGAATATGGTAAGGGCCGCGAAAAATTCGTGAACATTCATTGGAATGTTAGGTTAATGCGATGCTTTATGTACTAAGTGAGCTGTTGTTACATGTTAAATAGGTTTAATCAGGCAACCTTAATATGGTCATCTAAAGGAGCTCCGCAAAGCTATCAAGATGTGTGAAAAAATTCTGGTTTCAACTGATCCCGCTGTTACATCATTAGGAAACAAGCAACAGGTAAGAACGGATATGGTTTAGTTGTAGAAAATTTATGTACCTTTTACTAAACTCTGTCACTCTTTTTTTGACTTTGATTTCCCAGGCTCATGTATACTCTTCAGAATCAGGAGATTGTTCAGCTTTCGTTGCAAACTATGATACATAAGCGGCAGCATGAGTACTGCTTAACAACGCTCATTATAACTTACCTCCTTGGTCGATCAGCATTCTTCCTGACTGTAGAAATGCAGTTGTTCAATACTGCAAAGTATAAAGTATATATCATTGTTCTGAATTCAGGAAATTCAAATTGTGTTTGTAAATATTCTGAAAGTTGTGGATTTCTCTTGGTTGATTTCAGGTTGGAGTTCAAACATCACAGATGGAAATTTTGCCAACAAGCACGGGGAATTTCCAGTGGCATAGTTATTTGGAAGATCTTTCTTCTCTAGATGACAGCTCCACATTCACCACCCAGGGACTCTTGGAGCAGATAAATGTCACGCGTGACACAAGCGATTATCTTTGGTACATGACTAAGTAAAAAAAAAAACAATTTGTTACCTCATATGATGTAAACTTTCCATTGTGATTCTCAGAAGTTGCTAGCCAAATATGGAATTTGTATGTAGTTTTGATAGTGGCGCAACTGAATCATTCTGGCATGGAGGATAGCTACAAACTCTCATTATTCGATTCACGGGCCATGCCGTGCACATATTTGTCAATGGACAGCTTTCGGGTATGATACTTCCTATAGTTTGGCCCATTAACTTCCATTAGACAGTTTCTGACATGCAAACTTCAAGGTTCTGCCTCTGGAACAAGGCAAAACAGGAGATTCACTTGTAAGGGAAAGATCAACCTATATTCTGAAACTAACAGAATTGCGTTGTTAAGTGTTGCTGTTGGATTGCCAGTTAGTATACCTTTGCTACTTTTTCTCATCCGCTTCTAAAGCTGTTTCCGTTATTCTCTTATCAACTTTAAAGAATGTGGGTGGACACTTTGAGTCATGGAAAACTGGAATCTTGGGTCCGGTGGCATTGCACGGCTTGTCTCAAGGGAAACGGGATTCAGGGTGGTCCCATTTTAGGATTGGAGGGTCTTTTCGTCTTTTCTCTAATGAGCTTATGCAATAGAAATGTTGTGTGGACCGATGACTCTTTTGTTTTTCAAGTTGCCTTATCTAAATCAAACCAAAACTAAAAACTTTCAACCTCTCAAAGAAATAAAAAACCTTGTTTTGTTGAGAAGAAAAGAGCAAAGCTTCGTATTCCGACAAAAATGGCGACTGCGTCTCTCGTCCCGACATCTAAAATCTTCCCTGCCTCTCCTAAATTCTCAGCTTCAGCTAAAACAAGAAGAAGTAGCGTAATTGTTGTTTCCTCGCAGCAACAACCAAGAAGGCGAGATTTACTGCTGAAATCGGCGGTGGCGATTCCGGCGATTCTGAATTTGAAGGAAGCTCCGATCTCGGAGGCGCGTGAAGTCGACGTCGGATCGTACTTACCACCTTCTCCATCTGACCCTTCTTTCGTCCTCTTCAAAGCCAAACCTTCCGATACTCCTGCTCTCCGCGCAGGTGATGCTTAATCCCAGTCTCCTTTTTCGTTTTCTGCATTGCATATTAACTTGATGAGTTTGATTAGTAGTGTTTTGTTTTATCATCATAAAGACTGATTATCTATCTAAACAAGTTTTGCTGCGTAGTTTCAGTTTGGTTCTGTTCTTGAGCCTATATCCTTAATATTTAATAATACTAAGTATGGATTGGCTTTTGTGAAACTTTTAAATTAATGATCTTTGAAATCTAGTCTGGTTGCAGGAAATGTGCAGCCCTATCAGTTTGTTCTACCGCCAAATTGGAAACAGTTGCGAATAGCCAACATTTTGTCAGGTAATTACTGCCAACCGAAATGCGCAGAGCCATGGATCGAAGTGAAGTTTGAGAACGAGAAGCAAGGCAAAGTTCAAGTAGTCGCATCTCCTTTGATCCGCTTAACCAACAAACCAAACGCAACTATTGAAGATATCGGTGAGCCTGAGAAAGTGATTGCTTCTCTTGGTCCCTTTGTCACCGGAAACTCTTACGACTCTGATGAGCTTTTGAAGACTTCAGTTGAAAAGATTGGCGATCAAACGGTAAGAATTATCTCAAGTGGTTTGTTTCTTTTGACTAAATCAATCATTGAGGAAAGTTTCTGATATTCTTGTTCTATGTCTTTTTGTGTTATTATGACACAGTATTATAAGTACGTGCTGGAGACGCCATTTGCGCTAACGGGAAGTCACAATCTTGCAAAAGCGACAGCAAAGGGAAACACGGTGGTTCTGTTTGTGGTTAGTGCTACTGAGAAGCAATGGCAGAGCTCACAGAAGACTCTTCAAGCCATTCTTGATTCTTTTCAGCTGTAAATCAAATGTTATTTGGTATGACTCTCTGAATTCAAAAAACTAAGAGCCAAGCGGTTTGTTTGAAGGAAATCAGGAATGTGTGTAGTACAATTTTAACTCGGATTCCTTTCAACTGTAATTTCGAGTTGACTCGGATTGAACATGAGACATTGAATAGACCCGATGGTATAACTTTCTCTGATTATCAAAGATCTAAAGATTACAGGGTTAGGATCCTATATCTCGATTCAAGAATCGAACAACAGTACAGGCTGACGATAAAACTAAGTGGCAATCTACTGGAATGCAACGTATAAACTCCGTTCTTCTTGTGGATTTTATATATAGAGCAAGTCAAGTGGTCACAAGATGAGGGACTTCTGGTCGTGGAAGAAGGCATGAGTATGTTACATACTTCATACCGTCCACAAGCACGACTACGAAAACTCGGGGCAGTGATTTTGTTCCTCTCATTGTACCATCGGTGTCTCCATCACTGCCTTCTCTGGGATCAACAAGCATCGATACAACCATTGATGGGTCTGGCTTGGTTGTACTTGTGCGAAAGTTCTCTTTGCTAGAGCTGTTTTGATCTTTGGCTAGATTAAGATCGGATACTGGAAGACCACCACGGAGGATTCTTCTGTTATTCTTTCTGTTATATGAATCAGTGGTGTTCTTGGGCTGTTGCGTAGCTGGAGAAGCAGGAATGATGACCCCTGAGGTTGAGGAGACATCAAACTGAAACACTTCGGTGCACATCCCCGAACCGAACAGTGGTCCTATTCGTGGATACATTTAACAAAAAAAAAAAAAAAAAATATGTTATTTTATGCAAATGCAAGCAATTCAATTCACTATCCTAGTTAAAAGACTGATCTTCCATGATAACTTATGTTTCTCGCTTCTAAGAGATAAAGACGAAGATTAGCATTCCTATATAATCACATTAAGGGGAGAATCTGTAACATTATAAACTTTTGATTACCTGCAACACCTTCACGAAACCATTGCTGCATTTTACCATTAGCTGTGGTTGATTCAAGTTGGTCTTCCGAAGAATCATCAGAGTTAGAAGATGAGAGACCTTTCTGTTTTTCGCTATAGAGGTGCTTAGGCAGTGAAGGAGAAAAACCTTTAGTAAGTTCTACACCGCTTTGTCCTTCATTCTTCGTTACAGAAACCATGGCTTTCTCGCTCGCCAAAACAGAATGAATAATCAAATTTCCATCGATCTTCACAAGCTTTTCATTCCTCGGAACAAACAGAGATGCAGCTAGAGGTTCACTACCATTCCCAAGAGACACAGAGTCCACTGTTGCAGACACGTTTCTTCTCACTCCTTGATCAGAATATCTCCCACAGTGGCCACTGACATCTAAAGCTCTTCCTCTAAGCCGATCATACTCACCATAAAAGACACCGCTAGTTCCTCCATAGCTAAAGTTCAAAATCGGAGCCAATGCACCAAACAAAAACAAACAAAACACAAGACCAAGAACACTAATACTAGCAACCTTCTTGGTCTTACCTTCTGACTTCTTCACCTTAGCCACCGATGATTGTTGTGGTTTCAACCGAGGAATAGGAAGCAAAGGCACTTGAGAACCTTGCGGTTTAGCCATATAAGCCGGACACGGCATCCATGGATAAGGCATCGGAGCCAACGGTGGATACATTCCCGACGGTTTCCAACACATGCCTCTTCCGGAACCTACTTGCTGCCTCAGAGTGGCGTTCTCAGCCACAAAGTAAGAGATCTTACTCTTTAGCTGCGTTATTGTGGAATGCATATTCTTAACCTTTTCTTCTAGCTCCTCTACGTAATGTTTCTTCCTCTGTCTCGAGAGCTGAGCACTTTCACGGTTCCGTATCAGTCTCGCGTTCCTCTTCTCATCATCTTCTTCGCCACCTGTGACAATACTTGCAACGCCATCTTCATCTGATCTCCTGTACTTACTGTTCCTAGAATCCTCGCTTGTTTCTTCTTCACTCTCCTTTTTTCTCTTCCTAGTGGATGTCGTAGAAGCTTCCTCCTCCGTCTTAAACTTCTGATCGACCGCCACGATTCCTGATACAGACGACGCAATTGTAGCCTCCGAGACATCAGAGACGCCGTTCGCCGACTCCTGAGAGGATAAACTCAAGCTCCGCGCAGTACCGGAGCAATCGGAATCCCTCGGCGATTCCAGATTGCAGCAAAGCACACGATCGCCTGAAATTCTCGTCACCGGCGTAAAATCACCGGAAATCTCACCGTTCGTAGCACCAACAGGAATGACGAACGATTCGTTCTCAGAAGGAAAATAGAGGTCGTCGACACTGTCAAAAATCAACTCAAAGTCACCGTCACCGTCTATTAAAAACCTCAGATCGGAGATTGGTTTCCCAATTAGAGCTCGATCGGAGCTAGAATTGTAGAAATTATCAGCAAAGGGAGGTGGGGGGTTTGCGATGGAATCGAATTCAGAAGAGAAGCATGGAGTACTAGGATCAGTGTCAGGCGTATGATTCTTCTCCACCATAACTGGTTCCGCCATTGTTGGATAGCTTAAGGTTTAAGGTTACTAATTTGGGGAAGAAGAAGAGAGAAAGAGAGAGTGGGATGCTTATAAATAAGAGCGAGAAGACGTTGCTCTCCTTCTACTCTCACATCGGCGCGTGGGTTTCAATCTCCTTCGTCGGATTAGTTCATAGTATGGAGAGTGTACTAAATGCACCACGAAAAGCGCGTGAGTGATTTCGTATCCATATTGTAGCACGTTGACTGCATTAAGGTGGAGTGATGCAGGGTTTATATGCTCTTTAACGGCTTTTTTATTATCTTTTGGATTGGATCTGATCTATTTTATTATAGAGTTGTGATAAGACTTATTCCAAATGTGTGTCGTTTTGGAGTCTCTTTGACGTCACGCATGTCTCCTCTCCTCTGTCATCATTACTTCATTACTTATCTGCTTTTATAGCGTCACTGCTACGATTTTTTGTTAATAAATCATACATTCATACTAAATAATGATTATTTTTTACTAAAAGAGGTAAATACTATGAATCTGCAAACTACATTGACTTGGGATGGGATGAAACACGCGAAAAGAATTTTATTTGGGAAAATTTGCAACTGTTCTTTTTTTTTTTTTTACGAAATCATAACAACAAACCTTTGTTATATAAACATCACCAAAACATACATTTGTCTTTCTGAAAAAGAAAAAAAAAACTTGAGATGAAATTTATTTGCTTTTGTTTTAGTGATGAATGAAAATGAGTATTTTGTTCCAATGGCGGAACCACTTTGTCTAACATGGAGTCATTCGCCCCCATTAATTTTAAAATTTTGGTGTAGTTTATTAAAGCTAAATATCAATGCCCCCACTTCTAAAATTATATATACTCTTATTTGCCCCCAATGAAAAAAGTTTTTGGTTTCGCCACTGTTTTGTTCCATATATACTCAAATGCAGATACTCTAGATCTATTGTAAAACCCTGAACTTTTGACATGTATGCTTGGTCTAGTCATATATTCTGCTAATAATATACCAAGGAGTATGCTCGTCTAGACAATTTATAAGAAATTTCTTTTAATCTTTTGCTATACACTAATTTATTGTACTGTTATTAGAAATTTATAATCTATTTGGACCTTAAACTACAATGTTGACGTCTAAATAAACAAAGCTAGTTCACGAATCTAGGGGTTGAGACTGTAATACAGAATTTTACAAGGAAATTGGGATGATATCAAATTTGTTAGTTTTGATTGATGAACGGAATCAAAGAGGGCACAAACATGGATGCTTCCCGGTCTACTACTCATTCTCACATTTAGGTGGCGGTTGCTTCAATGTCAAATAACTCAAAACCACTGTATATCTTTCTTTTTGTCAACTTAGTCTTGTTCTAACCTATGATCTATGATCATGAGTGACATTTTAGCTCATGAAGTTGAGTTACTTGATACGATAAATAACAAAAACCTAGAACAGCCATTGCTCACTTTAAAGAGTAGATAATTAATTAAAAAGGAAATGGATATAATATCAGATAACAGAAAACTGAAAATAGTCAACCCAATTAAGACGGCTGAGAAGAAAGAAAAAGAAGGTCATTCATTAAGTTAAGACAGTAGTAACTAGGACTAAACTAGCTTTGTAATTACAACAAAAGGTCATCCAATAAGATAATTTAGATTGAAAACATTAAACAAAAGCTTTTACGTCCTCTACATGCATGCATGGTCTAAATTGGTGTAGACTCTCGCACCCATGAACACTTCCATTCCTTGGATTTCCAACTATATATTGTGATTTCCACACGCGTACACTAGACTACTGATAATTAACGCTAGACCTGTGAGACCCAAGTGAAGCTAATTTACCATATAGTTGATCAGAAGTGCACATTGAAATGTGAAAGTGAAAGTGTCTATGTTTAAACAAATTTGAATTTCTTCGACCTGACATCAAAGCAAACGAGTATGAAATTCCCTGATAACCTATCTTGATAATGAAGAGAATGGGATATGCAGCATTCGATCCTTCTCCATGACGGTTTTTCACTTGCTAATGTTAGAACTTGATGCTCCTCACGACACGGACCGTATCTAGTCTTTGATAAATCATCATGGACAACACAATTATACCTTTACTGCTTTGATATTCATATTTACTTAATGATTTCTATAATTAAGTAAAATGAAGTGTTTTACAATGAGTTGACTGAAAACTGATTGGCTTTTTCATGAGTTTTATTTTTCTGTTAAATAAAAAGTATATATATATTTGTATATATATATATATAATTTTTCTCAAAAAAAACATACATATATAGAAAAAACAAAACGCATGTACCGTATGAGATTTTAATTTAAAAGGTAAAAATAATAAAAATAAAAAGAAGAGAAATATAAAGTTTCCTTTCCCTCTCGTTTGCGTTGCCTTCCCGAGAGAGAGAGAGAGAGAGATAAGATTTGCATCTTAAGCCATAACTCATAAGGGGTTTCCTCTTCTCTCTCGCCGCCACCGATGCTCCGATTTCGATTCTCCTCTTCCTCTTGACTTTTCTTCTTCTCTTTGCTGCGAGAGAAAAGGAAACAAAGGGTCAGATTGGTAAAAACGTTCCAGATCGAGGAAGAAGAATCCAGAAGTTTCTGGGAACATCCAGCCGCTTTTTTTCATGGACGCAGCTTTCGCAACACCGCCGCCGGAAACCGCCTCTGAAACCGGTGCTGCGGTTACGGGAGATAATGGATTTTCGGTGGATCCTTTTCTAGTCGAGGCTTTGCAGAACCCTCGTCATCGTCTGACGAGTAAGCTCCGTTTTCTTTTTTTTTGTTTGTCTTTTTTTGGGTCCCTGATTCATGTCATAAACCCTAGTGTGCTGAAATTGGAGCCCAATTTTGTCACGAGCATAAGAAAGTTTGGAATTTTTGCTCGGCAGTTTATCTGAATTTAGCTTAAATTATGGTCAATTTTGTGGAGTTTTGATATGTAGCTACTTCTCTTAATTGATGTTGCGTTTCAGGGACTGGCTCCCTTCTTAATATGTGGTTATTGAGGTGTCCATTTTCCTTGTATTGTAAATTCATGGTTAATGTTATCAAAGCTACAAACTTTATTGTATGAGCATGATTCGTGGTAGTCAACATTTATAATAAACGTAAGTGATTCATGAAGTAGGTTTTGCTACAGGAGTGTTACTTAATATACTGATTTAAGATCTTGAACTCTGAAACTTGTTTGAGTTATATCTCCTTCTTCTGGTTTTGCTAGTATTAGATTGGCTTTTGTGTGGTTTCTTCTATTTCATCACTTATCATCACAACTTTCTTTTTCCTACTGATTCTAAGACTTTTGTTCTTTTCTTGTTATGTCAGTTTTGCGGATGGAACTTGATGTTCAACGGTTCTTACAGAACCTTGAACAGCAGCAGTTCGAGTTCCAGCATTTTCCTACTTCGTATCTTCGACTTGCAGCCCATCGTGTTGCAAACCACTATGGACTAGCTACAGCGGTTCAAGACAGTGGTGTTGATGGCAATGAGAACATAATCCTTGTGACTAAAACAACAGAGAGCAGATTTCCTGCTGTTCGCTTGTCTGAAATTCCGACGGCAAAACAGTCAGAAAATGGTAAATTTGAGCACATGAAAGTTTCCATCAAGACTCGACCTTCTAAAGGATCTGGATATGGCTCTGGTGAACTGGAAAAGAAAGGTGGTCATCTTAGGAGTGTCGAAGAGAGGAAAGAAGAGTATGACAGGGCTCGAGCGCGCATATTTAATGATCTTACAGGCCGTAATGGCGATGACTCTTCTTCTGAAACTCAGGTTTATGGGAGGAATACAAGTCTTGGTAGAGATGACAATCAAGTATCTAAGAATGCGTATGTTGAGGTAGAGAAGAACTTAAGCCTCAGGGAAACGGGTCCAACATCTCGTGTTGCAATTCTTAGAGACAGAGAAAAAGATCGTTTTGACCCTGATTATGACCGCAGTTACGAAAGGTATGTAAAGCATCTGTTGGCTTGCTGGCTAAGAGCAACGTTCAGCTTCATGGGTGATGGTTGATATACTTTATGTGTGAATGCAGGTACATTAGGAGCCTTCCGGTTAATCAGAATTTCCATCTACCACCAGCCTTCAACATTCAGCAAATGCAGTCACCGTACTACGAAATGGGATTTACCGGATATAACCATATCCCAAATACTCATGCTTCATTTAACTTTGGACCACCTGCAAGCTCTATCATGAGTCCTTATGGCACCACAGTTTTACACCAGCCTTCAACGGATGCAATGTATATGCAGTGGCCTAATGCAGCTATGATGTATGCCCATTCGTATGACCAGTTCAGAAATGCATCTCTTCAGGTAAATAACATTTGAATTTTCTGCCTTCCCTAACTCTCTTTGAGATTGTGTTCATAGCATGAAAACAAACTCGTGTCTCCTAGTAGAAGGACCATGCGCATATTAAGAATCTTTTACCCACATGCTTAAGTTTATTACGTATGCATAGCTCTAATAATTCGCTTGAGAGAGCAAGTGAAATTGGTTTGGTGCCTAATATATAGTTGTCTGAAAGCTGCTATAATGTGTTTATCCAGGCACAATTCTGTCAGCAACCCTTGAGCTTCGACTACATGCAGAACCGCTAGGCACTTGTCGTTAGGCCTTAATCCCTCTATCAATCTCTATCTCTGTTTACCAGCTTTTTCTAAAACCTAATATTGTTGTAATGGAAATTTTTGAAATGTAATGTGATACTCTTGTTTCTCTTACGATTATCAATATGAACTGCTCTTCTGAGTCAAATCGTCCTTGAAACTGGGTGCGTGTGGAATCGAATGTTGCATGTCCATAGTGGTGGCTACAAGAGCTGTCCTGTAGGGATTTCATTGCACGCGATACGAACCAGTCTTCGAAGTATATATATCATATGTATTGTGTACGTAAATTCTCCCATCTTCGTGAGACGCAAAAAAGAAAAAAATATATGATTCAAATAGACAAATATGTAACACCTACAAGGCTACAACATAATACTCTCGTTTACGAACTAATATGGCGGCGAAGGAACGTCACAACTGATTTCAATGGCGTCCTGTAAAATAATAACATCAATGGTTGTAAGTCGCAGAAAATACCAATGGGATACAAGATGAATTAATTTGCTCAATGAAATTTTGGTTTCCGAGTTTTTAGAAAATTTATCGCATTTAGTATACTAAAAAATGCAGCCAAGAACACGTGTCCCATCAAAGTGAGTAGTAACTTTCTAACAGAAAAAATAGACATAGAGATGCTTACCATAGAGGAAATGAGGGTCTTTGGCTTTTGTTTCCTGGTTGTGCAACCTCGTCGTCTCTTTGTGGATCTGTGTGGACAAGTCTTTGGAACTTTTCAGACAGTGCTTTGTAAGATTGAATTTCTGTTGGTTCGACTTTGCTAATCGCAGCTTTTAAATGCCGCATGCTTATTTCTTCTGCTTCAAGACTCTCCTGATATGATAAATGAATGTGAGACATTGCCTGTGCAGAAATTAGGGACTGGTATAAAGAAAATCTCTAACCTCGAGTGCGGCAATTGCTGCTTCTCTGCATATCAATGATATGTCAGCTCCTGTGTAGCCTTTGGTAATACAAGCGAGCTCCTTTAAACAGATATCAGAGCTGCATGGGATTTTACGCAAATGTATTTTGAGTATTGCTTCACGATCAGCTTTATTAGGAGGTCCCACATATAGCAATCGGTCAAAGCGTCCTGCAACATTATAACATATTCAAGTTCACCAAACGAAATTTCATGTTTGTTTACGAAAATCCAATGAATTAATGAGAGAAAGAAATTTACCAGGTCTCAGAAGGGCAGAATCGATCTTGTCAGGCCGATTTGTAGCAGCAATAACGGTAACACCAACTCGTTGATGCAAACCTGAATTCCACAATTAAGCAATCAGATCCATGCTGTGTTACTGTTCAGAATTTCATCTCAGAATCTCTAGTTAAACAATTCAACTATGATTGCAACTTTTCCTACAATTTGAGAACTGCACCGAGATATCAATACGAAGGGTTGTTGTTACTAACCATCGAGTTCCACAAGAAGTTGGCTCATAACTCTGTCTGAAACTGAAACGCCATCATTTTCTTTCCCTCTAATGGAGGCAAGGCTATCTATCTCATCGAAAAAGATAATCGAGGGGGCATTTGCTCTTGCCTTTGCAAAAAGGGACCTCACAGCCTTCTCGGATTCACCAACCCATTTGCTAAATAGCTCTGGACCCTTGACTGCAAGGAAGTTCAGCCCCGCTTCAGAAGCTACTGCACGTGCCATAAGGGTTTTGCTACATCCAGGAGGACCGAACATCAGTATCCCACTTGGTGGCCTTGTGCCTATTCTCTTAAATGCGTCCTCATGTTTTTGAGGCCATGCCACTGCTTCCATTAGCTGATTTTTCACTTCCTTTTGGCCACCAACATCTTCCCAGTTAACTTTAGGAACCTCTAATATCACCTAAGAGTTTGCACACGAACCAGCAATTAGACTACGATAGAGTAAAATCTGGTTTAGCATTTCGAAATAAAAATCTCTAGGTAACAGACCTATGAATAATTCAATACTGAAAATTTTAAAATTTCCTATTAAAACCAGAAAATCTGAGGAAGTAACAAAAGAAGATAGCCAAACGTGTGAAATTGAATTTGAACCATAACAGAATAATGCTCTTGGTGTTCTCATTCATGCAATTTCATATATGACATGAAGAACCAGAAGAAGGAGATCATCTTAATTAGATCAGAAAATAGAGATAAACTGAGTCAAAATGAGGGAATCAGTAAAAGGAGAGTTAGGAATATCATAAATTTCCTAGGAGATAAAATAAAATGGCAATACCTCTCGCATAGCACTAGGTCTGATTTTGATCTTTGCTTTTTCAAAATCTTCAAATCCTACACTTACGGTATGTACACCTTCTTTGCTAAGCATCTGTTCAGAACAAGAGTTGCTACTGTTTTGAAAATCATCTTCTACTAGGGAGACTATTCCATTTGAACTAATTGAACGCCGCGCCCCTGAAGTCGTGTGTGAAACTGTGATACATGACGATGCAGAATCCGAACTATCAGATGATACGTCTGTCACATTTGTTGAGGATTCAGAACCTCTACACTCAGAAGCAGTAATAGGTGTTTCTTCAGGTGGCAAATTGCTAGAGGAACTTCTCTGATTAAGATGCTCCCTTAAACAGACAAACGCTGCCTCACAACACAACGCAGCTAGATCAGCACCTACAAAACCATAGGTTGCCATAGCGAGCTGATTAAGCTGGGTCTCTGAAAGTGAATGCCGCATCCCACTGAGAATTGTCCGAAGTATATCGAACCGCTGTGCAGAAGATGGCACACCTATATCATTAAGCAAATATTTTTGAACACATATTAGGGAGTAAGAATCTAAACTATATCAAGGATGGTCTAATTATTACAAGGTCTTGGTCTTTACCAATTTCGATTTCCCTGTCAAGTCTTCCAGGTCGTCTAAGGGCAGGCTCAATGCTATCGGGCCTATTGGTCGCAGCAATTACAACAACGCCATCACTCCTACTTATTCCGTCCATTAAATTCAGTAGTGTAGCTACCATTCTCTGAGACAATTCTTCGCCTCCTTCTTTCCGTGCAGGAGCAATAGCATCCAGGTCATCAATGAACACCTATACAAGAAACAAAATTATTCACATCGCAAGCAGATTGGTATGATAAGATATATCAATTGTTGGGGTAACAAGTGAATATCGAATTATCTCAATATATAGTCGATACTCAGGTATAAAAAAAGACAGAGGAGAGTGCAAAATTCTAACCACAGCAGGTGCAGCATTGCTAGCAGATCTAAAAACTTCATCTAGAGCTTTCTCGCTTTCTCCCAAATACTGGCTTATTATCTCAGGTCCATTCACAGAGAAAAAGTTGACACCAGAATCACGGGCAAAGGACCGAGCCAAAGATGTCTTTCCTGTGCCTGGAGGTCCATGAATAAGCACTCCTTTGGTGGGTCGTAAACCAAGACTGAAATGATCATGCCAGTGATAAACATAGAATATTAAAAATAAAACAAAAATCTAAGAAGGTAGCTGTATTTACAGAACCTAACAATCAGATGGACTAAACCTTTCTATCCTTATAATTAGTAAATCATATATCTCAGCAGAACACCTACAGCATTCATCAGGACTGTGTATAAACACGTTTTACTGGCTAGACATATTCTCAACCTTCCTAATGAGCTCAACAGACCGATTAATGAGCAGGATAACTTAATTAATTCATGACCAACAGGGAAACTGGACTACATAAAAAATACTTGCACTTTTCATAGATGTTTTCAGGTAGAGCTTTGATTGACTATGTGAAATGGTGAATAGGAGTCAAAATTGCTGTTGGAATAACTGGAATACTAACCTTGATAAGGAATTTTTTGTGGACGAGGACACAATAATGTCCCTTAAAATTGCATATTCTTTAGAGAGACCACCTAACTTTGAAATTTCACATCCCATGTTTTCTCCTTCATCGTCTTCATCAAACTGCAGACCTTGCGCAGATGTTTTCTCTCGAATTTCAGATGCTAAGCCTAGTGTATGATGGAGGTTTACTTTAGTTTCCCGGTTTATCATAAAAGCCTGACTTCTATTGGAGGAATCTGGTGGCTTTTTATTAGCCCTTTTGACACAGAAAATACAGATTTCTGAGAGAATTGGTACAGCAACAAAATTCCCATAAAGCAGACTACAAGGATACAGCCACGAAGTTGCACAAATCTGCAAAAGTTTCTTCGAACTTTCATTGCTCAAAACCTCTCGCAGATCAATCGAACTTTCAGATGACAATCGCTGCTTGGCACTGAAAACAGGGCCTTCTAAATTTGATGAAGCAGGAGAACTAGGGCGAGGAGAACTAAGCTTTTGCAAGTTTGATGGTGTCTTAGGAGTTGAATTCCCATTTCCGTTCTGCTCGTGAGAACTTTCAAGAGATAGCTTCTCTGTAGAGAGAAAATCATTTTTAGCTTGTAATATATTCCTGAAGGGAATCAACTCCAAAGACAACTCTTTGCAGGCAAGTAGCGAAAGCTGGTTGACATCATGTTTGTACGATCCGCCATTCCCGTTGAATTGATCACTCAAAGAAGGTTTGCTAACAGGATAAACAAAAACAGTCCTGCCTAAAACAGGGCAACCAAGACCATAGCAAAGATTCATTGAAATTCGAACAGCATCCTTCAAAGCCTGCAAAATTTTGAAAATTTGCAAGAGGGTTGAAATCGAAATTCCAAACAAGAAGAAATATCAGAACTCAAAGTTCGATTCGAAAAGAGCTGCAAGACAGATTCTTCTGACCTTTGAAGAAGAGAAAACGGTGGCGAGAACAAAATAGTCCCCTGGTTCATCAGCAATTCGACTCTCGCACTCAACTCCATATTCAGCTTTTATCGAGCTGAGAGGGAAGCTGTTCGAAAATCTGCTTTCTGGGCAAGCAAGTGATACCTATCATTGAGATTCAGTTTCCGAAATTTCAAATCAGCATTTCGCAGCTAAATTTCGTATGAACAGCCTCAAAAGCAGAAAAGCATCGATTTTTACCGTTACAGTGGAACCAGGGCCGAGGGAAGCAGCGACCATCGAAGTTTCCGATAACCAAATCTTAGAGCCTCTGATAGACTCGGATGCAACATCGTCTACTCTTCCGATGATGGCAGATTTTCCGAGAAGACAAGGAAACGCAGCAGAAGCTTCTTCAATACCACGCCTGAGTTCCTCTTCGTTGACAGAATCTGTATCCCGACCCGTTGTTGAAGACGCCGGAGTTTTTGGGGACGCAGGCGGTTCCGAATTGGAAAGCCGTGATGGCGTCTTCGACTGCTTCTTCTTCGAAGGCATCTTATAGCTTTGTTTCTTTAACCCCGAATTCTTCCGGGATAAACGAAACTTATTTCCCGGCCGGTGAGTATAAATGCCGGTCACCGGGAATTGAGAGCCCAAACACTTAGGGTTTATTCTTGGTTTGGGTCATTAACTAACCGAATGAGCCCAAGCCCATATAACGATTTTAGTAGTTGCAGCAGAAGTGTTCGATAAAATGTCTGTGAAAGAAAAATCATCTTTGTCTAAAGCATCCTTTAATCAAATCATCTTTGTCAAAACTCAAACCTGTCATCACATGTTGTACGACCTCCGCGACCTATAATGACATCAATCTACTCACTAATCTTGTCTGCTATTTCAGATTCAATCCCGAGATTGTCTTCTCCAATATCTCCAATTACTGGAATCAACTTGCTCTTCATGAAGGCTTCATAAGAGGTCCCATGCATTTGCTTCAGAAGCTTGAATAGATCCGAGCTTATGATCTATGTGGAACAAAAATGGGATACAAAAGTTTACTTGGACAAGAAGAAAACTTTGTTTTAGGTTTTTATTACCTTTAGCAAGAAACCCTGTTGCACCGGTGACCAAATAGCTCTTCCCTGTTAAGAACTGAACAATACCAATTCCGTCACTGTCACTCTTTGTTTCTGCCTCAGACATCATAAATTGCGCACAGCTTTTAATGACGTCTCACGATAATAACACGAAGTTTGGACTCTACGTGTCGTCAATGACAAACGTCGAGAGAAGAAGTGGTTTGGTTAGCCTGAGAAGAAGCTGAAGCCACCCAATCTGATGGCTGTGCTGATGGATAGCCTTTTTTTAGTTACCGGCAAAAAAAAAAAAAAAAAAAAAGAAAGCTTGTTGGTTTGGTTTTCTTTTTTTTGATAAAGATGTTGGTTTGGTTTTCTTTGGTGCCTTGGAGGGTTTTTGTGTGAGAACATACATATATAGAAAAATCACGTAGGTGTTATTGTGATTAGGTCTCCGTCGTATCTTCAACTGTTTATGGTTGGACCGTAAATCATTAATTGTTTCTGTACTAACACAAATCAACTTGACAAAAATCAGAATTCTTATCAAGTGATAAACATATCGATTGAGAATCAATGATCTCAAAGCGATCAAGGACAAGCTCATAACGCTTGAACAAAGGAGAATAACAAAATGCATAAAGGAACAAACAAACAACATTCAATCTACAGCATTCAACTCTCGGTTCTCAACGTAAATATTTCCAACTGCAAACCTTCCGTTTGGCTCCGCCCGGATTCTGGTGAGAATTTCTTAAAATATTTTAGGCATTTCGTTTATTTTGGTCTAAACATAGCTAATATATTCCATTTCTAATTATGATTTTAGGTGTTTTGATTATTTCAAGTCTAAAAATACATAATATTTTTGGATATATAATTGTATATCAAATAATTTCGATTACAGAGTGTATCTCTGAAACTTTGTATTTTTTTCATTAAGACAACACCAACTTAAATAGTTTTCGTACAAACACCAACGAAAGGATGTGGCTTTTGAAACTGAAAATAAAACTACCCATTTTTACACAAGTCTTGTTGATTTAACATATAACTATATAGAAATTCGACCAAACTCAATTATAAACTAGAAAATACATAAAGAAAGCTGATACACCTGGTGAACACAAGCACTTATAATCATTCCCTTTAACTGGACCTTTCACTAAATAATTGCCTTTTGAGACCTGGAAGATGAACATTGACAATGTAATGCTCCCAGTCAATGCATCTGCCATCAAACTCAAACACCTTTCTCTCTTCCAGTGACATCTCTTGTATCAGACTTCTTGTATTGGTATCATCAAAGCTGGTACATTGACTATTATTGTCAGTAATCTAATAGCTTTTGTTTTTTGCTAATTAATAAAAGAACAAATCCAAGTTATGTTATTTACCACGCTTGAAAGAAGGAATAAGGCTGATATGTTCTTGCTAGGGACACAAAATAATTTAGCTTCCTCTTCCCTTTGATGCTCAATGTGGTATGTGACTCTCCTCCTTTTCCTTCTCCAGTATTCATCTCTATTTCTTGTTTTGCTAGAGTGTTGGATACAGAGGAGGTGAAACCCTCTAAGGAACTGTGGAATTTCATACGTTCCAAGTCTTTCGTTATTGTTTCTGTCAATGGAGAATCACACAAATGTTGATGAGAGAAGTCTGCCAACTCGCCGAGTCGCAGGGGATTCGCATGAGATGTTGAAGTAACATTGTAAACTTTGAGTTCCGGTACATCACCAAAACCGTGCTTTGCAATGGCTGCTATTGCCGCGTTGGCAACCATATCAACAGGTATAATATCACAAAAAGATTGATAATCTCCCCACATGTCTGAAATCTGTTCTTTTCCATAGCCCAAGATTAGTGGAACACTCATCCTGTTTTTTTTTGAAAAAAAAAATTAACCAAAACCAAGTAGAAATTCTCAGTTAGAACAAGAAGCTAATCTAGTCCTATTTTTTTCAAAAAGAAAATCTTTAACCTTCTTCCTTGGAGCCAGCCAGGGAAAGGCTCCTTGTAGGAGCTTTCTATAATACTAGGCCTTATGATCACTACAGGAAATTTTCCTCGCTTGCTGTTAATTATGGTCTCACCCAAGGCTTTTGTGAACGTGTAAACGTTTTCCCAGCCAAAATATTGAGCTCTGGTTTCTCATAACATAATACCAAGATTGTTTCAGATTTTGGTACATAAAGAATGTCAAGAAAGTAAATTTTTCTCAATTTTCCTCACAATTTTTTGTTTTTTTGGTAACTGGATAACGTTAAAAGTACCTTTCGATACCAAGTTCTTTCAGTTTCTTGATTTGTTCACTGCCATGGAACTTTTTTACAGCTTCTGAAGCTAGTTTCATCTCGGTTTTAATGTTCAAGTTGGAAGTTATGTTTTCTCCAATGCAGAGAGGAGTCTCCAATATTGTCCCTTCTTTCTTACCAGTCACGTAAGCTATATAGCAAAATCAAAAAGGAAAAAAAAAAAAACAGTTTCCGATACTTCTCTTAACAAAAATCCTTTAAATTTTGGTCCAAAACATATGAACATATATATACCAGTTGAAAAATGGAGAAAAAGTTTCAGTTTCTTGCAGTCCTTGCCAAAGCTCAAGAGCCGACCAGGTCCAAGAGCATTGACGCTTAAAGCGGAATAGTATCTGTTTCCATTTTTTTTTTTTTGGATTAAAAGCAACATCAGAAATTATAATATGTTTGCGATATGAAAAGAAGAAAAAAAAAACATATTTGCAAACCCTTTAGCAACAAATAAAAGTGAAAAAACAGAGAAAAAAGAAACGGAGGAAAGAAAACCTGTCGTCAAACGTTGTACGACCAGCACAACTTATAATGACATCAATCTCCTCATTAATCTTGTCTGCTATTTCAGATTCAGTCCCCAGATTGTCTTCTCTAATATCTCCAATTACTGGAACCAACTTGCTCTTCATGAAGGCTTCATAAGAGGTCCCATGCATTTGCTTCAGAACCTTGAACAGATCCGAGCTTATAATCTGTGTGAAACAAATGGGATACAAATTTGAGAAACGGAAAAGAAAAATTGAATGGAAACGAAATGATGGTTTGGAATACAGAACCTCATCGTAGAGTCTCTTGTTGGCTGATTCTTGATCTTTGGATTTCATCAGAACAAAGATCTTCCCAATCTCAGGACTTGCCCTCAACAATTTCTCAATCAACACTGCAGCAAACAATGTTTCAATTGAAAAATAAAAATATAATTTAATTACTTGTACAAGAAGAAAACTCTGTTTTAGGTTTTTATTACCTTTAGCAAGAAACCCTGTTGCACCGGTGACCAAATAGCTCTTCCCTGTTAAGAAACGGACAATTCCAATTCCCTCAGTGTCACTCTTTGTTTCTGAGTCAGGCATCATAAACGGCGTCACAGCTTTTAAGGACGTCTCACGATAACAACAACAAGTTTGGACTCTACGTGTCGTCAATGACAAACGTTGAGCTAAGAAGTGGTTTGGTTTGCCAGAGAAGAAGCTGAAGCCATCCAATTTGACGGCGTTTCTGGTGGCTAAGACATTAGTGATAGCCATTTTTAGTTACCGGCAAAAAGAAAACGAGAATGAAAGCTTTTTGATGTGGTCTTCTTTTGTGCTTTGGAGGATTTTTCAGTGAGAATATATATGTGTATATATATATATTACGTGGGAGTTATTGTGGTTAGGTCTCCGGTCAGGAGTCGTATTCTCACTGTTTATGGTTGGACCTAAATCATTGATTGTTTCTGTTAACCAACACAAATCAGAATTCTTATCAAGTACTGATAATTAAGAAACCACAATTGATAGACTCACAATGTCATATTGATTGGATCAATGATCTCATAGCGATCAAACACAGCCTCATGACTCTAGAACAAAAGAGAACCACAAAATGCATTAAGGAACAAACAAACAACATTCAATCTATTTAACTCTCGGCTCTCAACAAGAGAAACTTCAACTGCAAACCTTCCCCTTCTAACCCTGTCTTCCCTTTCGAAGTGCCAGAGTCATGACTCATGAGTGATTTACGCCTTAATAACCAGATATTATCATATGTTGGCAAGTTTTAGTTTCTAGACTTTACGTGGATTAGAAGATTTGGTAATTAACAAATACTGAAGAGCCGACCAGGCGACCAATGCACATCTTGACGATTTTTTAGCCTAGCAAGCCGAAAAGATACGTATCCATATACGTCGTGTATACGCTAAAATACACTGCTTTTCATAAAACGTGATATACATTAGAATTGATATACAATAAATGTTCTTAGAAAAAAGTTACAACGAATATTATGCATCTACTACGTGCAGTGTTCAGTAAATTTATTAACATTTGATGTACTTTATATATAGTACTGATGAATTGAATTTTGCGAAAGTGTCATTCTAAGGTGATGAAACAATATTGGTTAATACTTAATTAATATGATAAACATATATCATATCATGTGTACTTTCCCATAAGGCATAAGCGTTATAAGTATATATCGAACAGAAGACCCCAGTTCATATATGATCATTGTTATTTCTCTATAAAGTCTCACAGTGATACAGAAGGTCTCGATCCAGAGTCGAGACTCTTGCATCCTCTGTTTGACAGGAGAGGAATCACACAGCCAATTCTTTGGAAATTTGGTTACAATTTGCAAATGCAGTTCAACCACAATCACCGGTAATTTTACTTTAATTCTCTGACTGGAACTTGCACTCTCCTACTGGAAAGAATTTAACTCCTACTAAGATATAATTAAGCCATATCTTCAAACAACAATATATGCCGTTTGGCGTGAACGAAACTCTCGAATATTCTTAGAAAAAAATTGATTATGTTAACTTGGCTGAGGAGTCTATCAACCGCACAATACGTTACTCTCACTTCCTTCCTCGGAACTGGACTCAAACTGTCTCTCTCCTTGAATTTTTTTTGTTTCGGTTGTATAACTTGTTTGTAATTATAGTATAATCTCTCTTTTGGTTTCTCTCTAGTTTGCGCTATCATGAGAGTGAAAACTGAATTTATTTAGTATGTAATTTTTGTAACCTGCATTTATTTTGCTATAAAATTTACAGTTCAATAAATAAATAATTGATGATTAGACGTTGACTATAGATTACGACTTGTTTCTTAATTAAAATAAAAACTATAGATGATGATGAGTATGGTTCATATATCAGTATACAGAAGTTTTGATGAAAAGGCAACACAAGCTTATCAAAAATGAATTAAGAAATAAAGCATATCGAAAGATCCATTCAAAACTTTTCACAAGAGGACTTAACCCATACAACTCGCTCCATAAACCCTAGTAATTTATATAGATCCATCTATCATTTAGTTTTTGTTAAATTCAAGTATCTATTTCATAATTTATATATGTACTTGATGTAAACGAAGTCCAAAGATTTCACATAGAATCGATTCTTCCAAAGTCATTCACATTGTAAAACCCATTCGAAAAAAAGCCAGAAAAACCTGCCGACATTTGAGGAAAAAACATCTCTTCCCCATCCAAAGGCTCGTAATAATCAGGCACCCGATCATCGAACGGCTCCTGATGAAGAACACGTGGCGCAAGATTCTCCGGCGGCGGAGAAGGAGGGCTGTGGTCGGAGACAGGGGATGGGGAAGAAAACACGGCGGGCTCCGGTTCAAGATCGACGGCGTCTTGGCCGGTGAGCTCTTGTACAAGCTCCCTGAACTTGGAAGCACAAGTTTTGACTCTCATGGGGTTTGATATGTAACGCACTTTGATGGGTTTGTTCGTTGAACTTGAAGTCATCTTCTTCTTTTGCTTTGGTGGTTTTCTCGAAACCGGAGACGGTTTCCTCTGGTCTAAGCTTGTGGTAGTGAGAAACGTTGATGACGATGATGACTCCATTTTGTGTGTTTCCGGTGAGAGAATCCTGATGCTGTGTTGTGTCTTTTGTTTATTTTAATTATTATTCTCTAGCTTCAATATATATATACAAGATTTTTTTTTTTCTTTAAAACCAACAAAAAAAAGTTTTTTTTTCTTTTTGGAAGGAGAGTGGAAATTAATAGGAAGGAAGGAAGAAGGGTTTGTGGAGAAGAGGAAACAAACGAATTTTTAGATGACGGCGTGTGCACCTCACGTGCCCTCCGATAGGTGGAAAGTGTTCGAAATATCTATACTTGGAGACTGATGCGTGTACTCACGCGCGTAAATAGCCGCGTGAGGAGGAAGAAGAAATCGTTGAGTGGTGATCAAGGCGAGCCGGCGGCTGCTCGTTAAAAGCTCCTCCACGTTAAATACCGCTAGATCCAAAAGATGACGTCTTTTATGACGTCACCCTGTATCATACGAGATGACGTCACGTTACCGGTCATGGAAATGAAGAAATTGATAGCTTTTTTGGAAAAGAACCACCGCATCCGTGTGATTGGAGAAGCTTTTTTTTTCTTTTTTGTACAGATTCGTTTGCTCTTCAATAATCAATAAGTCAATCAGATTCGAGAATAGGAGACACCATGACTTTTCGATTGTTCTTACGCTTTAATACTTACTATTTAATTACTAGTTGTTACTAGTTACTACGTAAAACCATTATTGTTTTAGATGTAAAAGTTCAAATTTTTCGTATACTATGCATACGTAGTATTATAATTACCAGTTTTAGATTTTAAATGAAACATTAAACACACAAAAAATATATATATATATATTACAAATTCTTACATTTCGTTGTAATTAGAAAACAAGTGTTTGTATTCGACTTTGCATGTTTACATAATATTTTACAGTTTTTCAAAACTTAAAACGCCAATTATTTGTAATTCGATCAGCTAGTTCCTGCTAGTTTTGTTTTTATGTCTGCATTTTTCAAGCCTGTAAATTGGTGCTTTTCAATAGAATATCCCTTAACAAAAACAAAAATTGTTAACTTAAAATGCGTATCACTTTTTTATATGTTTGTGTTTTCTATTTACAAAAAAAAAAAATTCTTGATTGATACTATTTAGACATGTAAAACGTAGTTATTTTTTTGGATAGAGGTATTTTAAAAAAAAAATCTGTTTAAAATAAAGTGTAGTTATTTATTTAGCGAAAACAAAAAAAAGAGAGTAGAAATCCAGTGTAGTAGTACTATAGTACTACAACAAAAATTTAAATTAAATTGAAATATGGAAAATCAAGATGAAGGAAAAAAGCGAGGGGTCCACGTTGGCAAGTGGAAAGAAAGCAAGTAGCGGCAGCGTGGTCTCACTATCACTCTGAATAAATCTAAGGATAATTTAAGATCCTAATTAATCAAAACGTCTTTAACTAGTGTGGGATCCTTTTTCTCCATACAATCTTTGATTAACGTGTGATTTACGGTGGTGGATACTGGATATCTGGATGATAAGATCATAAAACTAAACGATTACATATTAGAAAGTCAATATATTTGATTTATTGGAAAAGAAAAAAGTTGTCAAACGCTTATTAGTCGGCTTCAAGAGGATATGATAAGCATCTTTTAATATATAGATCTTCAAAGGAAAGTCAAGTCACGTGTATGTAGACACTCCTTTCCAGTTCTCCTGACAATTTATTAATTACTCTACTTATCTCGTTGTCGAATAAAGTTGTAAGAGAAAGTATCACGAAACTATATCTTCTTCCCCATACTTTATTGTTATTAATATACCTTTTTTTTTTCTTACAAGTTTACTTGATTATCACTTTTATTTATTTTCTTCACAGCTAACGGCAACTTGATCACTTAATTACATAATTCAACTTTAAGGATTTGTTAGCATTAAAAGAGATTTTCAGATGCTTAGAAGTAGCGAACTATCCAAATAGATAGGGACCATTTTTTTTAGGGACCATTTTTCCTTTTTGGTAATTGAGAAATTCAGATATATTGGAGCTTACTCTTCAAGGCTTAAAGATGCATCATTCTAATTACATCATGTTGTTTACAGGAGACTCAAACTCGATTCTATGTTTATATTTTGCATTTTTGTATAGCTGTTTTATCAACCATCGTTAATTTATTGGTATTTTCTTATTTGCTTGTACGAAATCAAGAAAAACAAACTGTTTGGGTGATTGGTGAATAAAACAATTGCAATTAATAAATAAATATTAGACGTGGATGAATCTGGGAGGGCAGTGAGCACGTGTATTGACTTCCAAGTAAACGGTTCCAAGCGACTTTTGTTTCCTTGTAGAGAAAAATGGACCAAATGTTGTTGTTGGTTCCTTTTTTTCCTTTCCCTCAAGGTGTAAATTCGATTGTATATTGAAATTGAAAAAATATAAATCATGTTCACATTCGACGTAGACAAGTTTTAGAAAGTTGCAGAAACTGGTAGAAAAAAGTTGGATTTCTGAAAATCAACGTCGTTCTATATTAGTATTATTATCAAAATCATACGTACGCCGGTCATATATCCGTAACACCTAGCTCGTAGTTTTTTACTGCGCTTACTCGTTAACAATAGCCCAAATTACAATCTTTGCCGTATCTTAATTAGTTAATTAAAATTTTCCGATTGTTATCTATTCACAGCCGTTAAAGTTATACCAAAAAAAAATGTTAGCAAATTAAAATCTATTAGACTAAAAACATATTCGAGCTATATTTGCAAGAACACTCGCATACATCTTTAAGTTCTAAGTTTATAATTAGATAACATGGTCCAACAGTAAAACTAGATTCGCAATTATGTGTCAGCTTTTTTTTTTTGCAAGACATTAGACAAATGTCCGTGATAGATGGACAAAAATGTTTATGAGTAGATGACAAAAATTCATCCTTGAAGGAGTTATCATGTTGGGCCAATGCAAGCATGTCGAGTATGAAAGAGTCAAAATTAACAGTTTTACAATTGATGCGTGTGCCTTTATTTTTTTTTATTATTGAAACACAGATGCGTGTACCTAAACTTGATTCTTTTTTGGATGAATGTAAAAAAAACAAAACCTATATGTTGTTTTTAATACTCAAAATTGAATGTTCACTCAAACAAGTTACAACTCTTGTTTTGGTTTAAGGTTTTTTATATCACTGTGGTTTTGGTCAACAAATGATGTTTTGTTTTCCTACAATTAGAGAAAATAAAGCTATATAACAATTTGAAACTTTTCATAATAAGGTTTTGTATCATGCTGATTGCTGAAAAAAAAAGACAAAAAAAACTTTTGTCTCGAGACATCAGCCCATCCGACCCAAAACCAAGCATTATAACTGCTAAATGGGCTTTATTGGTCCAATGTGGCTCACCGCCTTCACCGGATTTGTGAAAAGAATCCCACCGAGAAGAAAATATCTTCCTCGAACCCTAACTTTTGTTTTCCAGGAAAATGGTGGGATACTTTGTTGGGATGCAGAGAATCACACACGTAAATTGAAGATTGTCAAATCATCCGGAATCCTTTGATCAACCCATCTTCTTGTGTTTTCGATTCGATCTCTTAATCTTGTAATTTTGCTGGAAATTCCTGTCTGAAACTCCACGAGTGATAGAATTCGCGACGGTGAGCGAGCTTCCTGTTGAATTGCAGCCATGCTCTTTAAATCTTCGTTGAAATCATTACTATTTACCTACATCTAGATAACTTGATACCATTAGGACACATTTCCTTGCGTTGATTTCTGAAAATCGAATCATTTTGTTAGGTGCTAAGCTCCATGGACGCCGAACTAAACTCACCGCCGCAGGATGGTGGTGATTCCTCGGCCGCTTTTCGAAAGCAATCCAACGACGGGTCTAGCAGAAAGTATCGTCGCCGAGCTTTGGCTGACGATGGATCATCTTCATCTGATGGTTAGTTTTCGCATCCTTAAAATTCTTAATAGCTTACTATAGACTGTAACATTAGCGTAATTGATTAGTGTTAGTTGGAGCATTTTAGGTAATGGGTTTTCTATGAACGACGATTAGGTGTTTTTGTTTTCGATTGATCATGAATATTGTGCATTTTAGTGGTGGTTTCCGGTGTTTTTGAGCTAAGGATTCAGTTTCTGAAGTCACTAAACATGCAGCGTTTCGATTCCTCGTCCTCTTTTAGTTCTAGCCATAGCTCATTTTAGAATTGTTTGTTCTTGTTTTGTAGGAAGTCCTGAACGTAATCAGAGCCCTAATTCAAAGCACTCTAGAGGAGATATTAGGAAAAATTCTGAACCAGGTTTTGCGAGGGAAAACGATAGACGGGATACTGAACGCAGTCGCTACGGTAGAGGCGGTGTTGATTCACATAGACATGATAGGCACTCTAGAGATGATAACTACAGATCTAAGCGCGATGAGTACAAGAGACGTGAGAGAGATGCACCTCGATCTAGCCGCGATTCAAAGGGTGGGCATCATTTTGACCATAGAAGAGGAGAGACTGAGCATAGCAGGTCAAGAAATGATTCTGACAGACATTCTCGTGATAAGTATAGCAACTCTGGACATAGAATCAATAGTAACGAAAAAGGTGAAGATTTGTCATCTGATAGAGCGGTATCTGGTAGGAGACACGCAGACTCTGGAGTGGAGGATAAAGAGAAGGATTATGTGAAAAGAGGTTCCCGCTGGAGTTTTGGTGACCGCAAATCCCGTGATGAAAAGGAACACGAGGACCCTGAGATTGACAAGGAGAAGGATGTTCATGTCAAATCCCCAAGAAACCGTTCGGATGGTAATTTTGCAACTGAGAATAGAGATACACATTCTAAGAAACTGAAGGGTTTCATTTCAGAGAAGTTTACCCGTGGCAATACTAATGGTAAGTCGTTTTCAAGTACTTCCGTTCTGTGTTTTATAGCTCCATGCTCTAAGTTATAGTGTTTCAGCAGAAGAGAAACAGACATCAAGCTTAAAGACGCCAGCCATCGGTGCTGGGAATCAAGGCGTGACACTGCAATCTCATCCAAAAGAGGCGGAAGTTTCTGGTGATGTTAATGCTGCAAAAGTTGCAGCTATGCAGGCAGCTGAATTAGGTATGCTGTTATTATAATTTTCTAAACTTTCCTGTTTTTTCTACTCATCTCTTGGTCCTCACCATTTTAGTGATTTCTTGCTGGTTTTATATACATATGATCTTGCCATCTGGAATATTTGATTGGACTCGCGCTTCATCTTGAAAAATCTTTTTCTAACGAAAATGCTTACACTAAAGTCTATCTCGTCTGCTTTTGCGTACTTCTTACCTAACTGTTTTCCCTTGATGAACAGTGAATAAAAACCTTGTTGGAACGGGTTACCTGACCACAGATCAGAAGAAGAAGTTATTGTGGGGAAAGAAGAAAAGCACGGCTACAGAAGAGGTATCGTAATGACACTTGGATGTGTAAATCTACCTAGAGTGAGATAATCCATTTTTTCTTTTTCTTTTTTATTCCTTAGAACCAGCCTGCTCATCGTTGGGATAGTGCACTAATTGGTGACCGGGAACGACAAGAAAAGTTCAACAAACTCATGGTAAATCCCATCCTTCTTCGCCTACTTACTTGTTTCGCTACCATTGAATTGTTCTCTACATCACTAGTGATCATCATCATCATACTATAGGGCATGAGTCCACAGTTTTGTTTAAAAAAAATGCATAGAATTGGTTGTTGTGTATAAAGTAATACTAACACATTTTCAGAGTCTGAGGTTGCGTTGGTGCATCATTGTAGGGTGTGAAAGGGAGTATGGTAAATCAAGAGCAGAACCCGAACGAAGTCCAAGTCGAGAAGCAGAAAGAGTTGCAAATGGACCTAGAGAAGCAGTACACAGCAGGGTTAAGGAGGAGAGACGGACGCACTGTAGGGTTAGGTCTTTGAACCTCTTTGGTAAACTATTCTCAAACTCTTCTTGTCTCCTTCTCTATCTAAGGGCCTTGGTGGCATCTCCTTTTTGTACTCATACCAAAGCCCTTGATAACGATTAACTCCAGGTTTGTAATAATTATGTTTAGTAAACCATGTTTTGAGACCACTTGAGTTTGAATTCTTGTGCAGATAGTTCTCTTTCAGTTTACCGCTATTAATTTATCAAAATAAAACCACTAGAGGTTCAGATTCATGTTACTTTCAAGTTTCAAAAGCATCTTGAGATGAATTCTTCTTGTAGTCGTATAACGTCAGATTTGTTAGGTGAAAGCTCTTAAGTTAACTTTAGTTGTGAGATTTTATAAGTGGTCAAACAATTAATTTTACAAGATTTAGGGTTTCACCAATTAACTTTAAATCGAAAAAAATAATTGAACAGTTAAATTTCTTTCTCTAATATTCGTAAAAATAAATTTGTGTCAAACAAAAAAAAAAGCTGTAAAATCGTGGGTACAGTAACTATGATGAAATAAATATCCAACATTTTCCGCATTTTGTCTAATAAATTACTTTTTAAAATTTAAAACACAACAAATTGGAGTTTTTGTTATACAAATATTTTTCGGATTACAATTTTGTCTTAACCAATAAAAAAGCTTCTGGATTATTCTCTTGATATTTTTTAAATTCTGTGTAATTTATTATTGGTCACTTGATGAGTTGTTTTATTTTGCCAACTAAAAAGCGAAATTGAAATAATGATTTAATGTTCGACCCAAAAAAAAAAAATTTAATAATAATAGTGATATAATTTCTGAATTGATTGAATTTGAAATATTGAATTCAATTCCTGCAAACACCCTTCTGAGAAAAGAAGATCAGAAGGTTGTTGCATCGATCTCGGATTCCAGATTGATCCGTGACGAATTTGCTCACCGATTGCCGCCTTCTCTTCACCGGACGAAGATGAACGGCGGTCCCTCCGGTTTCCGTACGTATCGAAACCACCACTCGCTTGATCAATTTTTTTCTCCTGGATTTCCCCGCTCGTGCTGTTTCCTGATTTTTGATTCCTAAGTAATTGAATTTGTCGACGTTGCAGATAATGCTCCGGTAACGAAAGCCTTCGTCATCACCAGCGCCCTTTTCACTGTGTTCTTCGGGATCCGGGGCCGTTCTTCCAAGCTCGGTTTGTCTTACCAGGTGTGTTTGGATTGTGGATTTCTTAGTCGTCTTTGTAGCTTTGTTTGCGTTTTATGGATTTGAGCTAGGATCCGATTCTCGGTCCGTTTTCGTTACTTAGTGTGGCATTGCCTTTACTGTTTTGAAGATACACAACAATGGCACAAGAAATGATTTTTAGTTTATAGGGTTTAGTCAATGTAGCTTGTACGCATCCATTTGTGCAATCGTGGGTTGCATCCATCATCAATTTATGAGCTTCTACTTCGATTTTTAGTCAGTCGTGCGGCTCTGAATAATAGATGATTCGCTTTAGCAGGTTTAAGCTTTAATTGTTCTACTGTCAAGTGCTAAGTAATTTGATGGCTTGCATTCTGATTCATCTGTTTGTGTATGCAAGTGTGACCTGGCACCTGAAAGATCTTTGATTCTAGTTTCTCGGTTTAGGATTCATAAGTTATTTCGAACTTCTTTGCAGGATATTTTTGAGAAGTTTCGGATATGGAAGTTGATCATGTCGACCTTTGCGTTCTCCTCCACACCAGAATTGATGTTCGGATTGTATTTGCTATACTACTTCCGGGTTTTTGAGAGACAGATTGGCTCAAATAAGTACTCGGTAAGTAATACTCGTAGCTTGACTCTCTCTTTTCCTGGTAGAATATATTTTCCATGCCTTCTCCGTTTCTTGTTATTCTTGGCATAGTGGTAACTAGAAAGGTTATATTCTTGGCATAGTGGTAACTAGAAAGGTTGACTGGTGATAGTTCCTTGGAGTTTTTGTAAATTCCAGTATTTTATTTTGCTTACAAAAGGTTAATTTGTGAGTGTTCCTTCTGCAGGCTTTTATATTTTTCTCGGGGACTGTATCTCTACTACTAGAGGTCATCTTGTTATCACTGCTTAAAGGTACCCAACATTCTATTTCAAACAGCCTCTTAAAAGTCGACCTCTTTGGTTCATTAGTTAGGATTTGCAATGATGGCACTAATTCAGGTTACTATAAGGATTGTTGTTGCCTTGTTGGTTCGCTTAAATTAGCTTTGTTACCATTCCTACAAAAACTAAGGGGGGAACAATGTACAAAGAAGGACTGTGGTGATATAAATTATTATATGGCGTCTTATGAAATATGTTTAGATTACGATACTGCGACAATCTTTTTTGGTTTCAATATCCATCCATTTTTTTTCTTCCCTATAATTCTCATGGAGATCTTTACAGGATATTTTCCTTTTAGTACTTGGGGTTTGGTTTTTGTTTTATGTGTTTCTGCTACGGATTTTACACATTTGTAAAACATAACTTCACTAAGGAATAGGTGGTAACTTGTATCGATTTACTAACTATCTACTGTTTGTTTTTGCAGATACCACAGCCAACCTACTGACCTCTGGACCATATGGCCTAATATTTGCTTCGTTTATACCCTTCTACTTGGACATCCCAGTTTCAACGAGGTTTCGAGTATTTGGTGTCAACTTCTCTGATAAGTCATTCATATATCTTGCAGGAGTCCAGGTAAACAGTGCCATTAGTGTAATTTGTATGATTCTTGTTGTACGAGTAGCGTCCTTTCTCTTAGATTGAGAATCTTCTCGGTTTTCATTTTTGCAGCTTCTACTGTCTTCTTGGAAAAGATCCATCTTTCCTGGAATTTGCGGCATAATTGCTGGTTCCTTGTATCGTTTGAACATCCTCGGCATCCGCAAGGCAAAGGTTATACTTTTCTATCCCTTTTGCAGAAATAAACGCACATTATTTCTCTCTGTGTCAAATTGCTGGCTCCTTAGTTTTCCAATGTCACTAGATTAACTTTGAAATTTATTTCTGAACACATACAGTTCCCCGAGTTTGTCGCTTCGTTCTTTTCCCGCCTTTCTTTGCCATCCTTCGGTAATTCTCCTCCTCCAGCACCAAGCAGGAACATCGTTGGAACTATATCACCCAACACAGGTCGCCGAGCAGAGGCAAGTCTCTTCCTTTCTTTCTCTCAGTAACGTCCGTTTTGCCTCTTTGGCCAAACTCTTACTGTTATTTAAAAAGCCTCTTCGTTTTACAGAGATCTCAGCCAGCTCCAATGGTGTCAGGTGCTGAACCATCTGAGGAAGCCATAGCTACATTGGTATCGATGGGATTTGACAGAAATGCAGCGAGACAGGCGCTCGTGCACGCCAGAAACGATGTCAATGCCGCCACAAACATCCTTCTTGAAGCACAATCCCACTAATTGAAAAAAGGCTTTACTCTGAATGGGAAGAATCAGAAACATAGTTGATTCCAGATTCCGAAACAACTCACAATAGGTGAATTCTTCTGCCGTTGGACTAACCTTTGAAGCCAACTTGTCTCACCATGTATGATCCGGCCAAAGATCTGACCTAAGTTCTCTCTTTCTGTTCGTAGTTTAGGACTAAGTGCGTAGGTTATGTAGCACAGATTTGCGAGTTGAAAGAAACACTGAGAAGTATCTATTTGAAACTTCGAGACCTTATAAAAAACACAGATCTTATTACATATCTATTCTTATAAAAACCCATTTACACAAGAAACGCCAGGAAGCGAGGAAAAACCTCAATAACTCTCTACACTGATTTCGATTTTAACTCCAAAAAAGTGGGAAGTGATAAGATTAAGCTCTGCACCAGCTTTAGTAGATTTGCAGTGAGACGTTGCGACGGCACAAACTTTAGCTTGCTGATTCTTTTCTTTCATCCATGGTGTACACTGGTATTTCCCAGTTCTTGTTCTTTTTGGGATCATCAGTTAAGGTGAGATCCGTTTCGTACTCTTTGAATGTTTTGAAGAATGTTTTGGCTCCCATCATTACCAGTCTCTCCACCATGAATAACTGGTAGTTATTCTTGATTATAGGATCCAGAATCTCGCTAAAATTCGATGAGTAAGCCAGTTTGTACCTGCAGTACAAGCAAAACCGGCAACATTTCACAAATAAAAATCTATGTATACGTATAAGCTTAATTTATGATCGAAACATCTAAAAAAAATGAGTCCAAGAAGACCTTTTAAGGATCTGATAAGAGTAATTCACCTGAGAGCGAGAGGAGAGAAAAATCCAGGCGTCCTCTCATTAGAACCAATAAAAAGAGTCCTCCCTGGTGGGATCCGCTTCTCTATCCTGTGAAGGATAAACTCTGGTCGCGTATCTCTGTCTAGATGAGGAAACTGAATCCTTTCAACTCCGAACCTGTCTTTTCTGGTTTTCAATTTGTCTCCTCGACGAACGTGGATGGCATCATAGTCACCAAGTTGTGCTTTTATCTGGAACAACACCAAAACTTATTCAAGCTTAAAGGCTTCATCTCAAGATGCAGAGTATACAACAGTAGGTCACTAAGCTTAGTTTGAAAGAGCTCTTTCAGAAATCGCCACCATTATATATATCTTGTATATTGATTAAAGGAAGCATTTCCCATGATACCTTTTCTGCGGCATTTCTCAAATTTGCAGCTGCCATATTAGGGAGAAATGAATAAGGAAGCATGACTGCACTACGATTGCCTCTATCTTTGCACTCAACGAACCTACACCCAAATTATCAACAATCTCAAAGGAGTTAAAAAGGGGATTATAAATAGCTTAGAGGAGAATAAGAAAATTGACTATTGTGAACCGACTTCCAAATTTAAGTTATACACAGCTTGATCATGATCTGATCTCAGAGATGTAATTCCCTGGAAAACCCCCAACGAAAAGAATAAAAGGAAGTGATTACCATGCAAGAGGACTTGCGGTTCGGTTAATGATCAAGAGTTTTGAATAGTGACTCTCTGTTAGCCTATGGCGACGGACTCCATAAACATGCGCGATCCCTCTTTCTTCCAACTTCATGCTTGTGGATAGAACAATATGCCAAGTTTTGGAGTCATCTAATATCACCGGTATCTTCTCAGATATGAGGTCAATGTCATACAAGGAGTCCATTGCACAAGAGCTCCCAACCCAACTAACAAAAATCCAAAAGTGACCCTTGTGTTAAGAGAATGCATTATCTCTAGAAAACAAACAAGTCAAGCGGATCACAAAACTCACCCTTCCTCTGTAGTTTTGTTATCAGATCGATTGAGTATACCTTTCTTATTATGTATCGGATTAATGCACATTCCAGAAGGCATTACAAAAGTCCTGCAACAAATGCAATTACAGAGTTATGGAATTGACCATCTTCCAAAAACCAAACACACTAATAATAACCCCATAAAGCTTCAGCATTTTCCAAAGCAATCTCACTATATCTTCATCACAGTAGAACTCTAGTCAGAAAAAGGAAGAATTTGACAATGTCACAGCTTTAGTAATCTACCCATGAAATTGCAATTTCTGATTAAGAAACCAGAGAGGACTGATCAGTTACCTGTTGAGAAACATGGCTTCTTCAAGTGCACACCTCAGGCTAGATTCCTGGTGACCCAAGCCTGCACAGGTCTCACAGTTTTTTCCAGGACAATCGATTCTGTTTCCCCAATACAAGTACTTCTCCGACAACGTATGCTGTCTCCTACCGCGAGGAGACCTTACGAAATAATCGATTAGGGTTTGTTGATACGGCAAATCCAATTTCCCGGTAGAGATCACCGAAGAGAGCAGGAGGAGGAATGCGAAGACAGCTATACATAACAGAACAAGACGCTGAGATCCAGAAGTGGGTTTTGTCCTTTGAGGTTTACTCATTGTCGCCATTAAAGTGTTCAAGAGTGAACAATGCCAAGATAGAAGAAGAAGAATCCTAATTCTCGCGACGGTAAAACAGAGAAGATCCGATCTGAAGAACGGTCACGTCAAGCGTCTCCGGCAGCTGACAGAAGTGACGTGGCGGATCCCAACATTCGTTAAGCTGATCCAGAGATGGCTCAGATATTGCTTTGGCAGCCATTAAAGGTCTGCTAGAGCTCGACACGTAAAGTTTGCCGCATAACGCCTGAGCAAACCGGTTATTCGAACCGAACGGAAATTAGAAGAGTTCGGTTTTATAGGCTCGGTTCATTTGGTAAACCAAGATTTTTGTTCATCATAAACCTTTGTTAAGGTGATTACTGAGATGTGTTCTTATTACAAAAGAGAAAGAAAGCCCCTTAGCCTAAAGCCATAGATGGACAACATTGGAACAAGGACGTAGAAAGGGACCATCTTTAATGGAGATTCGGGTATTTCTTCTTCTGTACAACACCATTCTTAAATCTTAAAGACTCAATCTTTACCAAACAGACAAAAAAAGGACTAGCAAGAAACGTAACAAAACGAAACCCAGATCGAACCAGAGCTATCCCTAGGCTGCAACTTCATCTGACAGTGTGGTAGCTCTCTGCAACAGCCTATTTTATTACGAGTTCCTTTCAGGTTACCTTAAGGTCATAATCTTTAGACTTGGTGTAAGGTTCCTGTCCTAAAGGCAGGCCCTTTAAGATCCAAGGAGAAGTAGATGTGTGAGTTAAGGAGAGAAGCTCCTCTACGCTTTCTGCAATGTCCGAGAGGACACGCCGTGTAAGAGTCTGACAAAACCCAAGAAACTAAGCTTGCCATCAGAATGTCTTATCCAATCCTGAAGAACAACCTGAACAGGGACTGACGGACCGAGTCCGAGTTCCTGTTAACAAAACACATTTGCGAAAACACATCAAGAACCACACAAGACATCGATAATTTCACATCTCTACGTGTGTGAAAAAAAGGCAAAAAGTTCTACCGATGCAAGTTCCTCAATCATGATGACTCTGTTTCCATCTTTCTCAAACAACTCATATGCACGGCGTGCGTGTTGCTCCCAAGTTTCCATTGCTTCTAGCTGATAAACACTTAAAGCCGAAGCGCAAAACTCTTCAAAGTCTAGTTTCTTGTACTGAAGACAGCTAATCTGCAATCCATAAAGTAATTAATTACCAATTTTACCATGTTGACCACCCTTTCACAGTGAATATGACTTAGTCCTCATTGCCTTACCATGTGTACAAAATCCAAGACTCTTGAATCCTTTGTAGCCTCTGTCGAGCTCTTCAGGATTGCCTGCAATATGTTATGATACTGTAAGAAAACAGAAAGATGCCAGAATGAGGAAGAGGCGTTGAAATGAGATAGAAACTCACTGTTTTGTAATTCTGCATCGAGATATATCCATTTTTGCTCGGCCCCAACAAATTAAATTGCTCCCGCAAGTAAGCGAGTTGTGGTACAGTTAATGTTTTGGCAAGAGCCTGTAACCAAGAAAAAAAACCGTTATCAACTTTCCATCCATTAGGCCTGAGGTTCATGGTAACAGCTGAAGAATCCAACTCACCGATAAAGCTGATTTCCTCAAAGAAGACGACATTATGTATGCTTTTACGAGCCTGTAAGTGATCATATCAGATGGTATCTTTAATTCATGTGAGCCAGCCAGCCACGGATGGCCTGAGATATAAGACAAAATCATTCAACTACATGTTAAAAGTCAGAATAATGTGACATATGTTATCAAACTAGAAGCATCAAGTTGGTTATGGAGACTTACACAAGGCCTGTGCAGCAGTTAGTCTCTTACGGTAATCTTTGTTCAGCAAACGTTTAACAAAATCTACAGCGTCAGGTGAAAGAGATGGCCAAGGAGCTTCTTCGAAATTGGGTTCTGCTTTAAGAACAGCTCGGAAGATTCCAGATTCAGACCGGGCCCAAAAGGGTCGGCTACCACAGAGAAGTATATAAGCAATTACTCCAATACTCCACATGTCTGCCTCAGTTCCATATGTACGGTGTAAAACTTCCGGAGCCACGTAATAAGCACTTCCTACAATGTCATTCAACCTCTCATCTGCAGAGACAGCTAAAATGTCAACTTTTCCATCTAACGTCATGATAAGCTTTTAAAGGAGAAACCTTTAAAATCGCTTACCTGGTCTGACATAGTCGGAGAGACCAAAATCAATGGCTTTTAGAGGAGAAGTCTCATCCTTTGTGGTGAATAGAAAATTCTGCAAATAAAAACAAAAACGAACAAAGAGAAAGAAACATTAAGGATGAGAGAACAATCTGGAAACTGAAACAACAGGGTTAAGGTTAGGTTCTATTACCTCGGGTTTGAGATCGCGATGAACCACGCCTTGAAGATGACAGTATGCAACTACACTAAGAATCTGAACCATTACTTTTTTAGCATCTTCTTCTGAGTATTTGCCTCCCCTGATGAGCCCAAACGAAGAAAACTCAAACCGGTCAAAGCATGATACAATAGAGACAAGACAGAATCATGTACATGATGTAGCAGTTACCTTTGAAGTATTTTATCCAAGAGTTCACCACCTTTGCATAACCTGGCCACAAAAGAAGAAAATAAATGTAATTACTTTTATCTCAATCATTAAATTGAAAGATGCAAAAGGTTGGTAATAAGTAATCTATGAAGCAACTTTTATACGTACTCCATGACAATGTAAACATTTTCATCATCTTCAAAGGCGTCATAGAACTCGATTAGGTTCTTGTGACCAGTCAAAGCTCGCAATATCTTCACCTCTCTTCTAACATCCTCAATTGCAATTGCCGTAGTCATCTACCGAAAATAGAATCCACAATATTAGAGAACACATAATTTCTTATCATAATTGTATCCAGATCAAGGCATTAAGCAGTAATTCAAGAAAGGAGCTTTTCAAAACATAACTCGATAAACTCTGTTTTACTGATGCTCTGACAAAGTAAACGATGATATTACAAGTCCACTTAGTCCAGTCTCGCACAGTCAAAATCCAACCAACAGGTAACACTAGACAGCATTGGACTTCTACAGTGGATAAATGCAGACAACTTAAATCTCCAATGCACAAGTCATCGTTCCAGCTAAGCCTAAGCCTAAGAACTACACATGACAAATGACAAATGGAAACTAAAGCATAACCACATGGTAATAGCTAGCGAGTAATGTATAGAGATTAAAAAGTCATTAACGAACCTTGGATTTGGGAATAACTTTGACAGCAACATCTTGACCTTTCAAGCTACCTTTTTTCCCCTTAGCAGAGCAAGTATACCCAAAATGACCTCGACCCACCTCACCATCAATCTCGTAGTGTGAAGCGAACTGCTTGGAGAATCCAAATTTCTTGTCGAGGCCAACATCGCACTCGCTGCCTTCAGGGATGGATGCTTCGTTGGGCTTGATGGAACCGTGACGACGCGCGAGGAGAGCGCGTATATGCTTTGCAGGTGATGGAGGTGGGAAAGGTCGCTTGAAGATACGAAGTGGCGTGGAGCTCACGCTCGATGAGGATACGGCAGGTGAGGTTTTGAAGAGGCTAGGTAATGGGCTAGGGCTGTAAAACGGAAACCCTGATGATTTCGATGGCTTAGGTGCTTCCTCATCGGTGTCGTTGGAAGAGATTGGGAGGCTCTTCTTCGATTGATGTTCGATAGGTTTTCCATGGCAGAGCCCCATCTGTGGAGATCAAATTGAGAGTAATTCGATTATAAGGGAAGCAAAAGAAAGAAAAACTCGAGCTTTTAACACAACAACAAAATGTCGGAGATTGAATCAGTTTGATTACTGAGCAGTGAAACGAAAAACAAAACAACGTGAGAAGAAACCCACAAGTTAATAAAAACACGAAAAGGGAAGAACTTCCCGGGAAAGAAACGAAATTTTCTCCGGGAAGAGAGTAGAGAAACAAAACCCAGAAATTAGAAAAGGGAAAGCAATTCGACTTTCCGAAATCGAGAGAGAATGCGAATCAAGGGAATAGACAAAATCCGAAAAACGAAGAGAGTGAGAGAGAAGATAGAGATATGGGAAGAAGAAGAAAGGAAAGAAGCGAAATTTCACTTCCAATGACAAGGAAGAAAAAAGCAAAAGGCGCTAAGAATAAAGGTAGTGAGAGAGAGAAAGAAGGGTAAAAAAGGAAAAGATGCTTAGCTGAGAAGAGCACCAAGAAAAAAGGCATAAAAAGAAAGAAACCATGACTTCTTTTCTTTTCTTGTGAAAACTTCGAAACTTTATTAATCACTGGAATGTATATATAGAGTACATAGGGAATATAGGTTAAGTATAATGCCCTGATGGGCTTAATGGGTCGGTATAAGAGTCCATATATGATATGTGTTATAACACTCCCCCTTGGACGAGTGAACCGGGTCAGCTACTCAATCGGGATCTCGATAATGCGCTGGGGAATGTTGCCTCATTAAAACCCTACCAGGAAAAACCCAATGGGACAAAACCATGGTGAAGGAAAAAGAGTACAACATGCATTACTCCCCCTGATTGTAGCATCACTGCAGATCTCTAAGTCTATACATTCCTATCTGTTTGACGAGCTTTCGGTGTGTTGAAGTAGGCAATGATTTGGTGAAGAGGTCAGCTGAATTCTCACTGGATCGGACCTGCTGAACGCTGAGAGTGCCGTCCTTCTGCCAGTCTGAGGTTGAGAAGAACTTCGGTAGAATGTGCTTCGTCCGATCTCCTTTGATATATCCTTTCTTGAGCTGAGCTATGCATGCCGCGTTGTCTTCATACATCACCGTGGGCTGTGTGTCTTCGTCCATACCACAATCTCTACGGATGTGCTGAGTCATGGAGCGCAGCCAGACGCATTCCCTACTAGCCTCATGAATAGCTAGGATTTCAGCATGGTTTGATGAAGTGGCAGTGAGTGTCTGCTTCATTGATCTCCAAGAGATGGCTGTTCCTCCATGCGTAAAAACGTAGCCAGTTTGAGACTTGGCAGTGTGCGGATCTGATAGATATCCTGCATCGGCGAAGCCGACTAACCCATCTTTATTTTGGTTAGTATAGAAGAGTCCTAAGTCTTGAGTACCTCGAAGGTATCTTAGGAGATGTTTTATACCGTTCCAGTGCCTCTGAGTTGGAGATGAACTATATCGAGCGAGGAGGTTCACGGCGAAACATATGTCTGGTCTAGTGTGACTAGCCAGGTACATTAACGCTCCTACAGCACTGAGGTATGGCTTTTCAGGACCAAGGATTTCTTCATCATCCTTTTTGGGACCAAGAGGGTCATCACTTAAGCTTCTAACTACCATTGGGCTGGTCAATGGATGAGCTTGGTCCATATTAAATCGCTTGAGTACCTTTTCGATATAAGCCGATTGATGCACAAGGATTCCTCCTTTGATGTACTCAAGTTGTAATCCCAAACAGTATTTTGTTTTGCCTAGGTCTTTCATTACGAATTCTGCTTTTAAGCAGTCGACTGTTTGGGAGATCTCACCAGATGTTCCGAGGATGTTTAGATCATCCACGTATACTGCTATGATTACAAATCCTTTGTTTGAGTACTTCTTGATGAAGATGCATGGACTGATGGGGTCATTTTTGTAGCCTTCTTTGATGAGGTAATCGCTGAGGCGGTTGTACCACATACGCCCACTTTGTTTCAGTCCATACAAGGATTTGTTCAGCCTGATGCAGTATTAATCTCGAGATGCATTTTTGTCTTTTAGTTCAATGCCATCTGGGAGTCTCATATATATTTCGTTGTCCAGGGGCCCATAGAGATATGCGGTTACAACATCCATTAACCGCAGATCAAGATTTTCTCTTATGGCCAGACTTATGAGGAATCGGAATGTTGTTGCATCCACCACTGGAGAATAAGTCTCCTCATAATCGATTCCGGGTCTCTGTGAGAATCCTTGTGCTACAAGCCGTGCTTTGTATCGAACGACTTCACCGAGTTCGTTCCTTTTGCGCACAAAGACCCATTTGTGGCCCACTGGCTTGATGTGTGATGGGGTCCGGATGATCGGACCGAACACGTTTCTGAGTTTGAGACTCTTTAACTCCACGTTTATGGCTTCTTTCCATTTTAGCCAATCTGTTCGATGTGTACACTGTGTTATTGACGTGGGTTCTAGATCCTCTTGCGTGAGCGCAACATCAAGTGCTACTTTGTATGCAAAGAGTGCATTTAAGTCGACTTCTTTTCGATTCCATTGTATTCCGGACATATTGTAATTGATGGAGATCTCATTGTTATCTTCTGAACCTGGAGATTCGGCGTCCCGAACTTCCATTGAGGGTTCATTAGATTGAGTCTCAACCGCGGCTATGTCTGATATTGCAGGAATCCCGGTTTCGGTTATTGCACCTTTCTTTGATTTCCGGGGATTCTTATCTTTGGAACCGAGAGGTCTGCCCCGTTTGAGACGTGGTGCAGACTCTGTAGCAACTTGGGTCTGTCCCGTTGGGACAGCTATTCGTACTGGTGCATTACAAGCTGGGATGTACGATTTGGTTACTTTGGTCGGGTCAGCAAAGGAATCTGGCAATTGATTAGCTAGCTTTTGATAATGAATAATCTTTTGGATCTCTGAATCACATTCTAGAGTCCGAGGATCTTGCCAATTTAATGATGTTTGATTCCATGAAAGATCTTTGACCAGCTTGTTTGTCTCACCACCTAAAGAGGGATATACCGATTCATCGAATTGGCAATCCGCATATCTGGCCTTGAAGAGATCTCCAGTGGTTGGCTTGAGATATCTTATGATGGTGGGAGAGTCAAAACCAACATATATTCCCATCCTTCTTTGAGGTCCCATTTTGGTTCGATGTGGTGGAGCAATGGGTACATATACTGAACACCCAAATGTTTTGAGATGGGAGATGTCTGGCTCATGACCCGAGAGTAGTTGGGATGGGGAATATTTGTGTTCACTAGATGGCCGGATGCGTATGAGTTCAGCAGCATGTAATACTGCATGTCCCCATGCTGAGGCCGGGAGCTTTGATCTCATGAGTAATGGTCGGGCTATCCATTGAATGCGTTTAATGAATGATTCAGCCAATCCATTTTGAGTATGGACATGTGCTACAGGATGTTCCACGGTTACCCCCATGGTCATACAGTAGTCATTAAACGCTTGTGAGGTAAATTCACCAGCATTGTCAAGGCGGATAGTCTTTAGTGGGAAGTCAGGGAAATGGGCCCGCAATTTTATGATTTGGGCCAAGAACCTAGCGAAGGCTTGGTTCCGAGAGGACAAGAGACAAACATATGACCAACGGGTCGATGCGTCTATAAGGACCATGAAGTACCGGAATGGTCCGGAAGATGGATGTATAGGTCCACAGATATCGCCCTGGATTCTTTCTAGGAAATGAAGTGTTTGTTTAGAGATTTTAACTGGTGAAGGCCGAGTGATCAATTTGCCTTGAGAACAAGTTGTGCACATGAGGTGTTGAGGATAAGCTCGGTTTTCTTTGAGGGTATGCCCTTGAGAGTTTTGAATTAGTTTACGCATCATATTTGCACCGAGATGACCGAGCCGGTCGTGCCAAATAGTATAATCAGTAAACCGGGCTTTGAGAGTGGTATTAGCTTCAATCATACTGACTTTAGCATGGTAAAGTCCAGTAGAGAGCGCGGGTATGGTTTCGAGGATTTGTTTATGGCTGTCTACGGTTTTAGTGACTAGGAGGGATTCTTTGTTCCCTTGACCTTGGGTTTCTATGTGGAAACCATTCTGTCTTATATCCTTGAAGCTCAGAAGATTTCTCTTCGAACTAGGAGAATATAGAGCATCTGGTATTTCAAGTTGTGTGCCATTTGATAGCAACACATAGGCATGGCCATATCCTTCGATAAGGTTTGAGGGACCCGCGATGGTGCTAATATTTGCGGTTTGATAGGTTAGGTTTATGAAGTAACTTTTGTTTCTTAAGATAGTGTGGCTGGATCCACTATCTACGACTATGGTTTCCATTTGCTCATGTGCTTTATTATGAATAGAAGATAGAATTCAGTATTGAGGAATTCAGAAAATGTGATAAATCATAAAGTAAAGCAGTGTCTGAGAATAAAGGCAAATGGAAAAAAAAATGAAACAAATCCCAAAATGAAAAAAATAAAGAACAAAATCAAATTGTATCAGAGTTTCAGATGATTGAATTAATCGAGGAGATCAGCTGTTTCATAGTCCATGGGGTCGGTCTGCTCGTTTGTGGTGTTCTCATCATCAAGGAGGTCGTCACCTTCCAGGTTAGCAGCATCGACTGGCTGAGTCATGTTGGCTTCAGCAGGAGCTTTTCCGTACTTCTGGTATAGATCGCAGTGGATCTTGGGGGTGCGACATTGCTTTGTTGGGTGGTTGAACATCCCACATCTGGTACAAGCAGAGTGATCGGGGTTGGTGTGGCGGGTTGGCTTGGTGATGCCTCGACCACGACCAGGACCATAACTGAGGTTAGGTCGGTTGCCACGACCATGTCCGCGTCCACGTCTTCCACGTCCATGTCCTCGGCCATTACCACGTCCATTACCACGTCCACGGCGGTGATCTGAGGATCTATCGGGTTGAACATGGTAGGACTCTTGACGAGAAGCTGGGACAGGAGCCGATCCCGGGGGCCTCATAGCGCTGTTCCTCATAAGCAGCTGGTTATTCTTCTCAGCGAGGAGAAGACAGGACAACAAGTCT